AAGCAATTGTTTTCTTGCAGAATCAAGATTTAGTATTTAGTAGAATTGAAAGATTGTTTGATTCGTGCCTGTAATTTTTAAGTTAGCGACCTTTGGTTTTATATGATTTCCTTAATCTCATTTTTTCCTTTTTGTCCATAAGGTTCGGCTCAAATGGTTTTGGCAATTGTGATATCGACTTAATCACCTAACAGTAGGTCTTTCAAAGGCTAAAAAAGATTTTAAGGTCTTTGTATGTTTCAGGTGGGGTAACTTTTTCAAGTTACAAAACTTGGAGCCCAAAATGTTTTAGCTTAATTTTGTTTTCGGTTCACGATCGTCTGCCCGAGTTTTATCGGCTTATGTGGCACTGGATGAATTTTTTCTGAAAGGCATCATTTGACGCAGTCAATTGTGTTTTTCCAAGTTTGTTTTTAAAAATGAATATCATCCGAGACAAACATGAATTTTTTGAAGTTTTTTTTAAAAAGTATTTCTAGATTTTTTGTCAGTGACCTCCGCAATTTTTTTTTACTTTTGAGTAGATTGCAACTGATACAAAGCTCGGCTTTACTTCTGTGTTTCAATGCTATCGTGCTGTTCAATGCAGGTAGTCTGCTCACAGTACTTATGTGATCTGAATGTTGTCAAACAAGAGTAACCAGTTATTTAGCAAGCAGCAGCCGTTTTAACAGCTGTTTTTTCTATGATTGCAGAATAATTTTCAGTAATGTTTGCGCCCTAAGTAACTCTGCTCACAGAATGGTCAAAATTAGAAATGGTAAATTTAGGTTCAGTTCATATAATGTATTGAAATTTCTGCCTACCGGGTTCAATTGGACTGGAGGTAAAGAATACGCCTGGGACGGCAAAGGTCCTGGATTCGAATCTGATTGGGGCTGTTTTTTTTCAAAGAGGATAAATTGCGTTTAAAAAACGAATTGTCGGCTTTTTATTGGTCTGCCTATGTTTTGTCGGGCTAGTTGCGATATCTTAGAATTTTTTTTTGCTGTACGTAAGTTACATTGTAGTTGCTTTCAGTGTTTTGATTAACTACTGCTGATAGTAATTTTACTAACCTTGACTTCGTATATCTTCTTTTTTCCCGCATAAAAACTTTATTCTGCCCGAATGGTTTCGGCCTATTTTTTATCGGCTTTGGGACCTTTCAAAATTTTATAGTGAAATTTGCTGGAATATTTCCAAGTGTTCATGGAAGATTTGAATGGTCGATCACTAATTGTACAGGTCATCCCCCAAAGAGGTGGGCCAAGCTTTTTTTGTTTCCTTTTTCCGTGCTTGATAGGTTTCGGCCTGTATTAAATTGGCTTAATGGCCTCATATTATTTCATTTGTTGAACAATAAAGCCTTTTCTGTGAATGTGTTTTGAGGGCGAGGGTGACTTATCAACCTGTTATAAGTCTTAAATCTTGATTTTTTAAGTGCTAACGGCGATGTGAATGTTCGATCAATATTTAATTCGGCCACTCTCCAAAGAGGTGGGCGAAACATTGGCGTAAGATGGATATTTTTTCAATAAGCTCAAAATAAGTTTCCTGAAAAACGGATCTTAATTTTTAAAATTCGCATGCAAATCTAGGCCACAAGATGTCCGAATTTTCAGACTTTTTCTTTCAACGATGATCGATGTTTGTCTGAAAAAAAATATAAATAGTTTCTCGTTTATAATATTGCACAGGCACTACTGCCTAATATTATAAGGCACACACAATCTTGATTCCACAAGCTGATTCCACCAACTATCCAATTGCATTTCAATTGTGCAATTAACGTGCTAGAATTGCATTTTAATTTTGCAGGTAATTTCAGGTCTACTCTTCTGGGAAATACAATAAGCAAGTTATACTCAGCACATGGACACAGTGTGACAAAGTTGAGTTATCTTGGCGATTGGGGTGACCAATTCAATCTTCTGCTCACTTATGTAAAAGAACTGCACTCAGAAACAGACGTGTTTGAAAAAATACGTCATCTGAACGTTCACGACTTGCTGAAGTTGTACGCGGAAGCCAATGTTAAGCATGAAACCAATGCAAACTTCAGACAACATTGTGATCGAACTAAATTACTGCTCGAAACTGGAGACAGTTTTTGCGTGAATTTATGGGCAATGGTTTGTGAGAAAACTATGGAATATTATGCTGATATGAATGATAAGTTTGGACTCGAGTATGATCAAATAACATCTGAGTCTCAATACAGGTCTAAAGCTTTGGACATAACTAATGAATTAAAAACTCTCGTGCCGTATGCGAAGACTGATGATTCTCTTGTTTTTCCTGTCGAGGGCAAAAGAAAAACTCGCGTTCCTTTTGCTCTTAAGGATGGAAAATGTATAGTTTTTTCTACATATTTGACCCGTGATATTGCTGCAGCTATTGATAGGCTGAAACATTCTGAAAATGTGTCGAAGATGCTCTACGTTGTCGATAAAGGGCAGTTCGAGCATTTCCGAAAAGTTAATTTCTTCGTGAAGAAGTTGCTGCCAGACAACAAATGCGAACTTGTTCACACACAGTTCGGACGAGTTATTGGTATGAGCTCAAGGAAGGGCAACGCGATGAGCATTGACTCCTTGGTGGAAGATGCGAGGGATATGGTTGTTGAGCTGTTGAGAATGAAGGAGACAACGAAATCGGACCCGAGTGAGTTCGATTATGTAGCTGACAAGTTGGCGATAGCATCACTGATTGTCAACTGTTTCTCCTATAAGGTAATTGAGCCAGCTTCAAATATTGGAAGGGGGAAAGGGTAATCGTCCATGAGAGCTACGTTTTAATTTGCAAGGCGCAGGTTAATTTGCAGTGAATCGTAGCGTATCTTGTTATCGTCTTTTTTCTTTTGCGCAACCGTTTAAAAGTTAAGGCAAAAAAAACATCAGATGGCTTTAATTCTGTTTTAGAGAATGAGCGATTACAAGTTCAACTGGAACGAAGTGGTTTCAATCAAGGGGAAGTCGGGAATATACGTGCTTATGTCATGCGCTAAAATACACACATTATTTAATGGGCTTGCGATCGATCCCCGTACAGAGCCACTTCAGTTTGACTTCGCCTCCTTCAATCATGAGAGTGAGGAAATAAAAACATATGTTACAGACCTTATGATTCTTTTGAGCAATTACGAGAGTGTTTTGTATGAGTGCTACGAAGAGTTGGATCCTTTCAAGTTGAGAGAGTTCATTTATCAGTTGTGCAAAGCGCTAACTAGATTGTACAATAATGCGCCGTGTGTTTCGGAGCCGTGTGAAAAGAAACAAACCAATCGCTTGGCGGTATTTCAGTCTGGTGTGATCGTTTTGGAACACAGTCTTGGTCTTATTGGAGTCACACCTCTGAGAAGAATTTAATGGCTGTATCAAATCAATCTAAATTGTATAAACGTGTGGACTTGCGTTTGCTGATCTGTTCAAGAATGATATTACCACAGTATAATCAAATGTGTTTTTTTGAGAATCTTAAGTGAGCGTTCTACTAAGGTAAGCGTTTATGAATGAAGAAATTGATGATTATTAGGCGCATGCAGTCAGTGTTCTACAGTATGGTTTACTTTTCATGACAAGTGATCGGATTAGGTATAAGTTGAAAGTAATCAGTTAATATACTTGACACATTAACCTAATTTGGATTCACCGTTATTACACTATTTGAAAAGCAGCGACACGAATGAAGCAATCTTCGAAATAAAAAAACTCAATGGATGTTAGTTTTGCGAAAAGAAAATCATAAAACCTAGATGATGTTCTGAAGCGGAGTGACCTATTCATATTATTTACACAAATGTAATTTAAGATTTCAGTCAATCACAACATGATTTGCTTGCATTGGTATAATTTATTCTGTGTAGTATGAAGTCTTTCGCTCTTCAGTCTGTAACTTCGAAAAGTGTCCTATTTTATCGTGAAAGACTGTAAGCTTGCAATAATTCTTCCTATGGTTGAGAAGTAAACGCGACGAGTGCATCTCATCCTTTAGACGTAGAATTAATTACATTGGTTCTGTTTTACTTAGTTACCGTTAACAGGCAGGAAATTTTCTCTTCGACGTCTAATTTTAAACTATATTACATTTTTTTCAGAAGAAAATGAAAGCAATTTACCTGTGTTTCTACGCCAGGGGCGACTGAAAATGTCTGCTGAAATTATCACCGCTTACTGTGTGAAAAGAGTACATTCGAACACGCGATTAGCATCAAGCTAAAATTCATTGTGCGTAGAAGAAATTTTTTCCCCCGATGATTTGGATTTTACTTTTTAAAATTTATTCAAAGCACTACTTACTCTTGGAGTATTTAGTAGCGTTAAAACGAGTAATTGAGCTCGAAAATGAGCAATTCTAATTCGCAAATGTCTTCATCGGAACAGCTTGATCGAGTCCAGAATGGACCGCATGCGAGCCCTAATAGTTCCAAAGGTGCCAGCTCCTCCAAATTAATCTGGGAGCTGGATGGCTACAAAGAAGTCATAAAGAGATCCCAAAGCAGCAACACGCAACTGAGTCATCTGAAGAAAATGTTAGACGAAAGAGCGCAGTGTGAGAGGGCGTATGCGGAATCCCTGTTTAAATGGAGTAATACGTGGAAGAAGATGACTGAAGCAGGGTCGGAGGAAGAGAATTTCAAAGAGGCGTGGCTGGCATTCACCAAAGAGGCAGACGCAGTTCGAGAGTGAGTGTCTGTGTTTTTTCTATTTATATTATGCATGCAATTAAATAAGTAATTTATTCAAATTCGAGAATGGACCAACTCTTTCATACCGGAATTGGATTTGTTGAGGGGTAATTCCATACGGTAGTGTTTTTCAAGACGGTAGTGTTTCGTTTGTAAAAGTTTTTTTCGATTTGAGGTATTTGGTTATATGAAAGAAGTTTCCGTAGTCCAGTTGTATTAGTTTTTACCCATTTTTCTTGTGTTTACGAAGTGCAGCTTTGCCTCTGTTTTAAATCTATAAAAAGAATATTATAGTGTTGATTCATGTAGTTCTTACAGATTTCAGCGGTTTGTAACTGAATATTAAAACCTTGATCAGAATCAAGCTTACTCTAAATATTCGTTTCCTGAACAAAATTTCCGCTAGCTGAGCAGTTCCCGCAAACTCAATTCTTTTATTTTCATTAATACGTTTTTTTTTGTAAATACCTCCTTGATGGTTGTTCTGACCATCGAAAATGGGGAGTAACTTTGTATTCTGGCGTGTTTTAGTTTTTTTCTTTGTGTTCCATGCAAAATCAGGTACCACAAATAGGAATCGGAATGGGTCGAGTGATGTATCAATTTAAAGCCCTTTCAGTCGTGATTTTGACTGACAACAAACATTGACTAAATTTTCTCAGTGTCGAGAAAAACCAGTTCGAAATTTTTGATTTTTGGTCTAATTTCAAGCTAATAATGTGTAAAAACCGTTGCATGCCCTATTTGCTTATAAACTATGACTATCGGGTATGCCCAAATTTAAAACAACACTAAGTTGGAAAAACAACATGAAAAGAGTTTGTATTTCCTAAGATAATGGTTGGAGGATTCTGTGCTACTTGCACAGCCTCCGGCTATCCTTATTGTTATTTTTATAACGAAACGTGGTCGCTGTAGGTTTTTTGAATTTTTCCGCGCAAAATCAGGTGCTATAAATAAACTTCAAATGATGTCGAGTGGAATAACAATGAAATCCCTTTTCAGTTGTGACTCGAGTATTTTAAACAAAAAGTTTTTTTCTCTGTTTTGAGAACAACCGAATTTGAAGTTCTGCTCTTTTGGCCCAATCTAGAGCGCGTAAAGGCAGTGGTCAGGGTAAAAAAAACTAAATTTCAACGGTTAGCTTTTAACAATTGTTTAAGATAGCTTAATTTAAAGCTCTCCTCTTCCTTATTACTCCATAAAATCACATTAATAACCAACTGTTCCAACCACAGAAAGTGGGAGGAAGTTTTTTTTCCGACCATTTGAAAATTGTGGGGAACTTTGTATTCGGGTATGTTTTAGTTTTTTCTTTTTGTTTCACACGCAAAATCAGGTACCACAAGTAATCATCAGAATGAGTCAGTGATATATCATATTAAAGCCCTGTCAGTTGCGATTCGAAGGATATTTAAAAAGTTTGAAAAATAAAATATATCTGTGTCGATAAAAACGGATTTGAAGTTTTTTAATTTTGCTTCAATTTAGAGCTAATAAAATGAGCGTGCACGCTTATAATAGCTTATTTAAGCCTAAATTAAGCCGTGAAAACTTAGTTCTGGATTTTTAGCGCCATTTTTGGAATCAAAAACTTCGAAAATTCAAAGAAATTTCTGCAAATAAATTAGAAAAAAATTTTGAAATAGTTCTGAATTGTCTTCACGATTGTGCTTTTTTGAATAGCCATTTATCTACAAAAGCTGTTATTCAGTTGGCCTATTTACTTATGACTGTCTCATTTGCCTAATTTTTTTTTCAGGTTTTATCAGACTACATAGAAGAAACGCTCTTATTTGAAAAACATGTATGGTTGCTTAATTTAGGCCGTTTGCTTAATCATTTTAGTTAAGTGAAGTTGGTTTTTGAGTTTTTCTAGCGGCATTTGAAAATGAAAAATTCCAAAAACATTTTTTGTTTTTTTTTTGTTTTCCTACTCATTTTTCTACAATTTTTGTCTATTTGACTCAGAATGTCGAATATTCCTAGCTTCCAGTTTTTCGTTCAGACTGTTTTATCATATCACGCAGAAAAAAAACGATACTAATTTGAAAAAAAAAAACTTTTTTTTTAGACTGTGATCGGAACTTTCTGTGCTGCTTGCACAGTAACCGGCTATCCTTATTTGTGTTGAACTTCTATTCCACTCAAAATCAGGCGCCACAAATGTTAGATGAATTGAGTGAAACATCATTTGAAAGTTCCTCAAGTTGTGCTTTGACCGACGTTAACAATTTTTTTCTGCCGAGATAAACCTTTTCTCGTTTTTCGGGCTATTTTTGAGCTGTAAAGCGAGCGAGTAAGTTTTTTATAGAAAAGTATTTCTGGTTTTTCAACCTTGGTTTAGCGCTTTCTTGGGAATAAAAGGTTCAAAGAATTCAAAAATACTTAAAAAAATGTTTTAAAACGTTTTTTGCTCAATTATTCAATTTCGAAGACAACTGTAGTCGGTTATGCCAAATTTAACAAGCTTTTGTCTAGTTTTAAGCTTTGGTCTAGTTTTTTCTCAAAACACAGCGCTCCTTTTTACTGTTTTTATCTAGCGATAAGCAAGGGTATTGCAACCGGGTACTAGACTTTTTTTTTCCGTTAACGACTATGTCAACAGAATTCGAACGTGTTTTACTGCAGAGGTAAATGTAGTATGTTCATGTTAGCTTAGGTATGGGTCTTGTCTGATTGTTATGAGTTCCTTCAATAGTATTTTTTCTGCCGAAAAGTTTATTTTTTCGGCACTTGAGTGTCGGCTTTATTTCCGTCGGCTCATTTTCCGAATGTTTTTTTTTCAATTACTTTTTGTTGGTTTTTATAGGCATGGTTGAAGTCTCACAAAATGTTTCGGACATTTCTAAATCACTTTCCAAGACAGTTTCTAATATAAGTGAAAATTTTGAAAATGAAAAAAAAATAATAAAAATTTTCGATTGTTTTTGAAATTTTTCAAAAAAAAATAGTTTTTGTTTTCAATGTGCAAAAATTTTTTGGTTTTTACCTTCTATGCTATTGGATCAGCTGTTCTTATCATATTTTTGGTAACTGATTTTTTGATAACTTTTTCTTGACTTATAATCTCTGCTTCGCCTCTGTGCTTATGAATGTGGGCGGAACTTTCTGTTGACGGTTTTTGTAAACTTTTCTCGCAAATCAGATTCTACGAATAATGATCAGAATGAATCGATTGAGATATCAAAGTAATTTCTTTTGGTCGTGACTTGAATTACATCGGAAATTTTTCGACGTTTTTTAAGTTTTCGTTTTACTCCAGGAAATTCAGTTTTTAAATCTTCGTTAAACGGTTCCTCGGTAAGAAACAGTTGTTGAAAAAGTGCGAAAACTTATCTGTAAAATTATGACAAAAAATCAATTTTTTTGGCCTTTTTGTTCATTTTTTTGATGACAACTGTATCCGAGTATGCTTTATTGCTAGCGCTCTAAGCTGTTAAGTAGCTAATTTACTAACGGTCTCTACCACCGGCAGAATGAAAAAAAAAATCACCAATCAGTTCGCTTTTTATCAGAATGTGGTTGGTTAATCCTAAATTGTTAATTTACTAGCGGCTACAGTCGCCTTGACGAACTTAAAGAAATCTTGTTGAATTGTTTTAAGAATCCACATGCAAATAGCGTCCAATCTGCGTGCAGTGCGCAAGAACGTGGGAGACTGGCAGACAGATAACTACAAGAAGGCACACACTCTGCGCAACATCGAGAAGGGCTTCAAGAACACTCAGGACCAGTGGTCGGAGAAGCTGAAAAAAGTGAATGAGCGACAGTCCAAGTACTACAGTTCGTGCAAGGATGAACACAACATCAAGCAGAAAAATAAAACACAGGTTTGACCGAGATTTATGGAAGGAATAAACGAAGCGAAGCATCCTGGTACTTCACTTATTTACCCGTTATAAATTCATTGGTTACATAATTCATTAATTGCACAAGCAATGCGAAGTGTATTATTACGAAGAATTTTTTTCCAACCCAAGTCGCAAATATGAGTGTTAATTTGGTGAAACTTTTAGTGGATTTCAATTTAATCGTATTTCAGCTTATATAAGCATAGACAATTTAATAGCATATGTTGCTGCTTTATTTTTGGCTAGTGTTAGGTCCTGTTTGAAAAAAAACAGGTATTATGAAAATGAATGGGATTCGTTGCTGTTTGTTGCTTTTTTGCGATGCTTTGGGAAATTTCGCATTTTCCGCAAAAAATTTCATTGTTTCGCAAAAACATTGTACTGATGTTCAAAACATGGTACCAATGAAAAAATCGTCCACGTTCTACGGCCTTCGAAAGTTTCATTAGGGAAAGTTTTGATCAAATTGTTTTTGATTTTTCCGTTTTGTCAAATATTAAAGGCACAAATCTGAATGAAAGTTTCAATCAAAAGAACAAATTATCCGGATCTTCTCCTCTCAAGCGGCTTTTCCCTAAATTCTGTAGAAAAAAGTTTGGCCTTAATTAAGCCCTGCCAAATCGGAGATTCAGAGTTGAATCGAAGGATAAAAACCAGTTTAAAAAAGTGTGGCATTAGAAAAAGACCAATTTTTGAAATGTTGACTGTTTTTTGGAAACTTTTTTCCCCCAAAAACTAACCTGCCGATTTCGAGGTTGATAGTTTATCAAGCTAACATCGTGCTTAGATTTTGCCTGCGTAATCTGTTACTTTACTTATTATTAGAAAGCCGATATGGACTTCGGAAAAACCAATTATTGAATATTTTTCCTTTTTTTTGAATTTTCATCACATTTCTCAAAACTAATAGCTAAATCTGTTATTATGGCTTCAACTTTAAAAATTTAGGGCGTGGAAATCTTCCCTGCTTAAGAGGCTATTCTCATGTTTTAGTAGAGAAAAGCTTATGGTTTTAGGAAAAGAATTTAATTTAAAAGAGAAAGTAGTTTTCTTTTTTTTATTAAGTGACTAATATACTAGTTAAGCAGAGTAATCACTAGGGTTTTGCGTAAAGTCCATTTTTTTGAACTATCTGTATCTGTACAATATGTTTAAAAAATATTAAAACAGGCGCATTAGCTGGCCCACTGCTTCACTTGCAATTAATCGTGGCGCAGATGCCAGCACGTGAGACTCCAAATGAACAGGTCGGAGATTCAAAGCCGGAACATTGAAATAGTGTTTTTTTTGTCGAATTTTTGCTACATAGCTTTGGCAATTTGATGGAAACTGTAGCTGCTTCATTGGTGGCTAGTGTTAGTAAAGTTACAAGTGATCGTGGAGCAGATTTGAGAACTTGATACTCCTAATCTCAATAAAAAACTTCTCATGTGGTTTTTTTAGTCTTTTCTTTTTGCCTTATTTCACTTTGTTTTGCCTGTTTCGAGCTCACTTGCTTAGCATTTTCCTCGCTTGAGTTTGCGAAGCTTCGCCTCTGTGTACTCATTGTAATTAATATTAATGTAATAGTCGGACTATAGTTTGTCGGCTTAGTTGCCACACCACAATTTTTGTCGAAATTCTTAACCAAAAGTTTGTCCCAAAAATGGGTCATTTTGGCTTTTATTTTGGCGAAATTCTACAAGGTTAAAACATCCAAAAATTTGCGTGAAATATTTGAAGTTTATTTTTAAGCCAAGATGTTGATTTTGATATGGTAGAAATAACCTTTTGGCTATCAACCATGAATATATGCTTTTATCCAGGCTTTTTGAAATGGTATTTTCTAGAACTTTGCTGGGCTTTGTCAGAGGTTTTTTTTCAATATAACTCTTATCAATTAACTTGACGATTTCAGCGGAATTCTTGATTAAATAAAAAAGCAAAAATAATCCAATTTCGGGGTGAAATGTTGTCTGAGAATTTTGTTTAAAAAGGGCCATATTAGTTCTGAAGAAATTCTAAGCACATTTTGTTTTCTTTGCTTTTGTCTAGTCTTAACCTAATATGAGAAAAACGCGTTTGAAATTTCAATTTTTAGTTTTGTCCGGATAATTAAATTAGAACTGTACTTTTTAACAAATTAATTGGACAACGAACGTTTTTGAAATGATTCTGACCTCATGCTAAAACTAATTCAAATGATTTTTTGAAGTTTTCCGATGACCTTTGTGTCGTTTTGTTATGCAGGTTGCCTCGAATGTTTTGCACAAAAGGATCATCATGGCATTGATCTTTTGACTAATGAAATTCAATTCACTTCCAATTTTCAAGGCATTTGAAGGTCGCAAATTTTCCAGATATTTAAAACGTCTAACATACGTTTGTTACAAACTATATAATTAGGAGTGAAGAGTTGGAACATACAGAATTAACTTAAAAGAGCAATCTGCCATTTTTGAGCAATTTTTCCATGCAAATTTGAATTTTTAGTTGATCTTTAGTCATAGTTTCTGTCTGGAAGGCTAGCTTTTGCATGCATGATTTTTCTGAACTAGGTCATTTCCTCTTTTTAATTAATTCTGTCGGTTCCAACTTTTTGCAACTCTCTATATAGATTTTAACAAATTTATCAGGCTACGTATTAAATTTTTGAAATATTTCTGACCTTAAAGTCCTTAAAAACCTTAATTTTTTTAAAAGTAGTTTTTCAAAGTTTCGTGTTTGCCTTTTTGTCGGCATTTTATGTGCTCTTTTCTTCTGAAAAATTGCATGGATAGCAGCTGAATGAAAAAAATTTTGAAGTTACGGGCTTGTGCAATCATCTTGGTTTGCTCTTTTGATGATAGTCGAATTTGTTGAAAAATTGGTTGTAATTTCAACCCTGTCTCTTTGTCTTAAGGTCGGAATTATTTCAAAATTTCAAGACGTTTTCTGATAAGTTTGTTAAAAGCTATAGAAGCTGACGATTTTAATGTACAATGTAAAGCTTTTAAGAAATTTAATGAACAACCTCTTGTTTTTGAAATAATTCTGACCTTCAAGCTGAATTAATTAGAAATAAGACTGCTCGTATGCAGGGCAAAGTTTTGAATGTTCCGACTGCCCCTTAATCGATATCGAATAGTTTTTGGGAGACGAAAATCCTGAAAAACTATAAGTCTTGGACAATATCTAAGATCAATTCTGAAAGTTTGTGTCATACGAAATTAATACGGCCGATTAGCTAGCCTCAATTCAATTTGGAACAGTTTTGTTGTGTGGGCAAATTCGCCTTACATAAATAGTTCGTGTTACGCTTTCAGCAAAGAAAACCTTCAAAGCACGTATAAATTAGTCCAGACCATGGTCAAATTGACAGTTTTCAAACTCCCATAACTTTGCAACAAAAGATCAGAGATTAAATAATTTTTTAAATCTGATTTTACGGAGTCGATATCTTCAATGGGGCACAAAATTTGTTTGTTAATAACTATTATTTCGATCAGCAAAAATTGACTGAATAAAAACAAACCACACCAAGCTTAAATATTCCGTTTTCTTCGAAAGTCGGAGCATTAGTTCTTCGGAGTTTTGCGGTTGCCTGTTTAACGGTGTGTTATGTTCTCTTTTCTTTTGTAAAATTGCTTGTCAGATTGCTGCTGAATGAAAATTGTTTTGAACTTAAGGGCTTGAAGTTAGATTAAAAAACTGACCTCTGTAAAAGCTCAATTCTCTTGGTTGGTTGTTTTGAGTTCAAATGCAATTTTGAGAAATTTTTCTTGATTTTCATCTTTATTTCACTTCACCTCTTTTTTTCATCACTATTTTTATTTCAGAATCATTTCAGAAATTTAAGACATTGTCCGATAAATTTGTTAAGAGCTAGTTAATGCCAAATTTAAATCCTGAGCAATTTAATTGGTCAAAAACTATAGCACTGGAGGTTAATTAGTTTTAGATGGAAATTGTTTTTACGTGTGGAAATCAGTAATAAGATGAAGTTCGACGTCAAAATAAGCAGTTTTAGACTAATTATTTTTGTTCAGATGAGTTGATCCTATAGGATATTGCAAACAATTTGGCAATAACTATATTTTGGAGAAGTCTGCATGCAAAACCTATTATTAGGCCAAAGTTATGGTAAAATGGAACGATTGCGCTTTTTAATTAATTCTGAAACTATAGCTAACTGTAATTTACAGGTAATGACAAATTATGGCAAAATTGGTGACCTTGAGCAATTTAATTGTTCAGCAATAACCGCGTTTTAGGTTAATTTTTGGACACAGATCTTCGTGTGAAAATCAGTGAAAAACAAATCGGACGTCAAAATGAGCAGTGTTAGGTTAATTAACTTTGTCCAGATTCGTTGACCGAAAAGATATTGTCAACAATTTGGCATTAACTATAGATTAAAGAGAATTGCAAAAAGTTGGAACTGACAGAATTAATTAAAAAGAGCAACTAACCTATTTAGAAAACTTTTGCATGCAAAAGCGAACTGTTCAGAAGAAAATATAACTGAAGGTCACCTAAAAATTTAAATTTGCTTGCAAAGTTGCTCAAAATTAGCAGATTGATTCCAAAATATATTTTGTCTGTTCCACTTTTTTGCAATTATTATAGTTGCTTGAAAATGCGCTGTTTTATACGACCTTGAACTTAAATTTCGATGAGTAATTATTTAGCAGGTATGATTCGATACGAAATCACTTAGTTATCATCAGGCAAAGCAGCCTTTTATGAACATTCAGCAACCGAGGTTTCAATATTTTTATCGACCAAACCGCGAAAAGCGTTGGCCCTGGTCAAAGCTCAGCAGCATCATCGACATTCTTACTCGTTACTGTACAGCGCGTTAAAAAATGGGACATAAAGTGAGAATCATCCCGCCCTCGCAAGAGGAGTCGCTGCTGGATTTTGATTCGTGCGAGAAGGAACAGGAAGACTGCCACGGTTTTCTGAAAGTGGACAAATGTTCTTTGACTAATTTCGTGGATTCCGAAGATCTCACGGACACGAAATGTCTGGACCGTGAGTTGTTAACAACACCGTACAAAGTTGGAGGAAAGAGGTTCATGGAACGGAGGAAAAGTGAAATAACCTTGGTTGATCTGGATCCGAATCACGAGGAGTTTCCGACTGGACTGCTGGGATGTATGGCGAAACCTGGATCCTGCATCGCATCTTTTATCTGCCCATGTGTCGCTGAGGTGTGTTGAGTTCTATTGGTGCATATAATCACAGAAAAACAATTCTGATTTATTTTGTTTTTCAGCTATACGTTGGATATGCCTTTGGACGAAAGTTCGTGGGAGCGCTGCTATTTTTCTTAACAATTGTGATGATAGCAGTCTATGGAGTATTCTGCTATTTCGAGAACAAGTTGCAAAATGGTTTGTCTTTTAACTTGTACTATAATTTTAAATCTTATAGTGCAAATTGAAAGAAAATGCAAGTTTTTTAAATGTTTTTATAGCGGAGTCAAAAGCAATCGCATATAACCAGGCGGGTCTGCATATACAAACTAATTTGAAGCCCCTGAAAACGTGGTCGCTTATCTTATACTTGATGCTTCTAACGATTATCGCCATTCGTTTGGCGCTGTACATCGTAATGCGAATTCATGTTCGCTCAGAACTTGGACATCGACTGCGCAAGAACCCCGACATCTGCAATAGTCCGGACTATTGTGCAGTGCTGTGGTGCAGTAGTTGTGTCTTGTGCCAAACTGTGGTTGCAGCTCAAGAATTCGACCCGCTAGACAAGACTAATCCTTACAAACCAGTGTGAAGCGCAGTCGTTGAAGTGACGGAGAAAACTTACGTCGTTGAGATCGCAATTCTAAAATTAATGTGTATTGAATGCGCTGATTATCAATTAAAGAATTGTCTAATGTTTTTTTTACCGAGCTTTTAAACACGCACTGTCGCTTAGTATGTTTGTGCAGTATGTGTGCGCTTAGATGCGAGGACGTGAGACTTATTCTTTAAGTTGGGGGTGCTAAGCCAGCCCACGGCGAAAGTTAACAGTTACATTTACATTTTTTACATTTAATCTTTTATTAAAGCCATTTTAAGTTTTCCTGCCTGTGTTTACGAAGTGCAGCTTCGCCTGTGTTTTCGGGTCGTGAACGTAGTTCAGACTCTTAAATAGGTTGCGATGTTTTGTTTTTCTGTGGAGTTTTCCTTACTTCAAACAATCATACAGTAAAAGTGTGAAAGTCGCGATAAACGTGATCCGACTTCTGGTTTCCAAAATGAATTTAATTTTTGATTTCCAAGCGAAATTTAAAAACTACTTTTTGATCTAGTTTTCTTAAGTAGTGCTAATTTTATCAAAAGTGTCAATCATAAATTCTAGAAATTCAAAGAGCTTGAAGTCTGTAATTGGTGTACTTGGTTTAATTGACTTTTCCAACTGTCTATTGGCTTTGTTAGTGCTTGCGATAGCTAGTGTATTGCAACGGGGTGCAAGACTTTTTTCCCGTAAATGATTTTGCACACAGAATAGCGGAAGTTGACATGTTAAATTAAGTTGCAGATCATATTTAAATTTCTTTGCGTCTCCTGCATACTTGGTCTGGATGTTACGAGGGGGCCTGGGACGGCAAAGGTCCTAGGTGCGAATCTGATAGGACATTATTTTTTTGTTCTTAACGGAAGATATTCCGTTTCTTAAAGCAGTTGTAGGCCTAATAATTGTCTGCTTATATTTTGTCGGCTTAGTTGCCACATCACAGAATTTTTTTAGCTGTACGCAATTAAAATTGTAGTTGCTTTTTGTGTTTCGATTTTTTCCTGTTTGTAATTTTAACCAACTTTGACTTCGTATTCATCGTTTTTTTGCCTTAATCATTTAGGCAGCACAAAATTTTTCGGCGAATAGTTCAGGCAGCATATATTTCGTCGTTTGATGACCGATGAAACTATTCGCTGCCGTGTGTTTTGAGGGGAAGGGATCTTTTTTATTAATTTTTTTTTTCGGCTGAAACGGTTTCTGCTCAGGTACTTGTGGCTTTTTAACGCTTGATTAAGACTCGATGAACGTAATTCAGACTCTAATATAGGTCGTGATGATTTTTTAATTCTTTTTTTTTCAGGATAAATCTTAAATTTTTGTTCAGGCTCAAATTTACTTTTTCGCTTTTTAGACCTTGAACTTGAATTTAGATACAGTTTAGAGAACATTAATGAACTAATAAACTGCATCAGGGTTACTGTACGGGCAGTACAGCCCAACTGGCAGTAGCCCGAGGGAAACCTAGGTAAATAAGTGAAGGCAAAAACAGAGTTATTAGAGTTGCACCTTTGGATACCACAAATAATCATCCTATTAGCATGTCAACAAGCAATCGATTGTCATCAGGTATATATATTTAAGTTTGACTCAGTTTATTTCGATTTGTATAAATTAGAACCATCCAAACAATTTGAATTTTTTTTTGTACTTATCTAATTTTTTTTAACTTAAATTATCTTAAAACTCTTAAATTTTTTCGAGACTTTGCTAAAGTTTTCAACAACGTGAAAAGTTAAATTACCTACAGTGTTTCCCGATCAGAATTATTTAAAGCACTTTACAAATTCTGGTACATTTTATCGCATATTTCAGTACTTATCATTTTGCTTTCGGTAAAAAACAAACAAACGAAGTTTTTTGCAACAATCGAGAAATTTACAGATGACTACCAGTAGTTGCTGCAATGATTTTGAAATGGTTCCAAGCCTTGTTTTCTCTTTACTATCAGCTAAGGAATTGCAACCGCGTCCTAGATTTAATCTTCAGTTTTGTCGGTATTTGATTAGACATCCATAGGATGAGCAATTTTACGACATATATTTATCACTGGCGCTAGTGAGGAACCATTGGTCAAAATTGGTTTGCATATGACTGTATCGGACAAATTTTGACAAATGACTGAAAACAGAAGTTGATTTGCTCGACCGGAAGAAAAAGCTAGAGACGAAAATTGTTTTTGAGGCCCATACGAATCCAGTATCAAAAATTAGATCCAGATACAAATGTTAGTGACATTGTCATGTATGCACATGCGCGAAAAGAAGCAAGTTGAGGACAACTCGACGTGCTTAAATTTTGACGACAATTCGACGGACAAAAATTTGCTATTCGACCTTCAGAAATTGGGGATTCGGCAGGCCAACTGATGTATTACGGAATATGCATGGGGAGTCGCCGACATCTCGCACTTTAAAAATATCTATAATTGCTTAGAGGGTTTACCCCAGACGATAAGAGGAGGGCAGACGTCTGTTACTGACATGGCATATGTGCTAGGAGTTGCCGGCCGAATGTTCACCAAATTTGTTTAAAATAGTATTGTTCACGTTTTAAGACATGCCTTCACTAGTACCTTTGACAGCAGCTAAAATTGGTATGCTTATTCATTACGTGACATAAGCATACCAATTGTGGGCATTTTCTCTGTTATTACTGATTGCATGTGGAATCCGTATGCATTTCTTAACACGTGCAAAATAGACAATTTTTTCAACTTAATAGAATAGGCATACCGATTTTAATAGTCTGTTGTCGAAATGGTTGTAATTGGTTCCACGAGTTCCCTGGTCACGAGAGGCAAATTTCTCGCGATTAATGCGTTATAAATGTGTGTGTTTGAGTGTTTCCGATCGAAATTTGTATTTGTTTGTAATCTTTTAATACCGATTTGGTAAAATTGCAGATTTTTTTTGTTCGGCTTTTAAGGTTGCGACTTATTTGTATTGGCTTAGTAGCCTCATTTCGCTGCGATCGATGATTGAAACATGTTCTTTACGGGTATTTGTTTGAGCGGAGACGACTTTTTCAAAATCTCAGTGTTTGTAAGAAAACTTTTTTTTTCAGTTCAGCGGGCTTTTTCAAAATGTTTTAGAATTATTATTTATTTATTTACAAATTGATCTTGCGTTTTTAGACGTATTTTCATTTTTTTTTGAAATAGCAGCTTTTGTCTCATTTTTCTGACGACATGTTTGCCAGACTTTGTTTGTGCTGTATCTCACGTGGTGCGAAGTTCTGCTTCATCTTCTGCTTTCTTATTTTCCTCATTTTTAAATTTCCAAATCGATCTAGGAAGGAGAATTTATGGTTTTTTTTCGGATGTAAATATTATCTAAATGAAATTAACCGAAAAGTAAATCTGAAATAAGAGTTTGGGCAACCAAGAGTATCAACTAGTCGTTCCATATCCAAAACCGCGCTTGTTTGAAATGCATGTGCTACATGTAATCAACTTCAAAGTTAATATGTGGCTAGGATAGAAATCAGACGTTAGGTTTAGGTGGAGGGTGATTTGTAATGTTAATCCAAGACATCATAAGAGTTTAACCCTATTTGCACGAGGTACTTAAAACGTGAGCAAAACTAGATCATTTTTCGCATTTGGGCACCTATTGGCAACCATTAATTACTAAAAGTGCGAGAATTTTAAAATTGCAATCGAGTGACTATGAATTTAGTTTAGCTCTTTTTCGTACCAATGGGCGCATGTGGTCCATCCGGCGGGCGGTACGAATAAGTACCGAACCCGTTTTTTGACTGATTTCTTTTTGAAAAAACAAAGTTTTGTTTAAAACATGATATATTACACCCCATGGAATTGTTTAAAGCAATTCTTAGCAGTTATACACAAAAATACATCACATTTCTCGCATTTTGTAACCGGACGTGCTTCACCAGTTGGGAGTTTACAGCGGGGTCCCCTTTCGGATGCAACTGGCCAGTGGCCAACATTATCGGTCCGAATATCTGGCGCGAGCGTAGGGGTCCGTCTACCTCCGCGCTTTCGCTTAGCAGCGATCTGTTGATCGACTGTACTGCGCCGGCCAACACCGCGCGAACGCACATTGACCCTCATCAAACTGGAAGCTAGCTGGCTTTTGAAAGCAAACAGACTCAGCCGGTATTTCACTGGTACGTTATCCAATTCGCAATCGCGGCGATATACTGCCCAGCAATTGGTGGCGATCATATTGACAAAGTGGAGAAATATCTTGATGTAGTATCTGGCTCTGGTTTGGGTAGTCATTCTGTATCTGGCAATATATGAGTTTACTTCATCTACGTGACCCATATGGTTGTTGTACGCCAGAATTGCAGCAGGTGCTGTAACCTTATGTATTGACGACGCTTACGGTCAAAGCGATTCAGCTCAGCAACCGGCAAAGACGCACAGAAGGTGCTCAGAAGATGCACGTACCGATTGTCCATCCAACGTATGGCATACACATCTACGCACAACCCATTGACTGTCACAACCCTTTGACGTACCCGGGCGTACACGGAGTACCAGCATTATCAGCTGTACTTACAACCGCGGAGTCTTCTGCAGACGGCTCTGCCTCTGCACTGTCAGGGTTGCTTGTTCCGAGAATATTCTCCACCGAGCCGAGTACAGGAAGCACGCTCTGGGTACGCTTTGTGCCCTTACGACCGGTACTCTTCTTTACAGAGGTTATACGACCCACAATATTACGGTCGTCACGCCAGGCCACTCGTTCGTTGACAAATTCATTAGGATTTAGGGGAACAATGTCTCGCAGTCTTACTGTATTTTTGCTGTTGTCGTTGTACCATAGAACTTCCACATCGTTCCAGTCGTAAATATTCGTAATCTGACCAACCCAGTTTGTATCTGCACGATAGGCCACGAAAAGATCCAAATTAAACTCGAGATCCGTCAAATAAACTGTATCGTTGTTGCCATTGTCCCAGGAAACGTTGCACTCAAACGCCCCAGCCATATATCAACTTTATCTGAAATTCGGAAAAGTTGATGTTTTTTTTTGCTCATGACCGCCAGGACCGGCTGGTACGTAAAAGAGCCAAACCAATAGTCAATAAAACGAGGTCGTGCAAATTGGGCTAGGATACAATTATTTCCCACAATAAATCAACAGATTATAGGCTACATGAAGAAATTTTTTGCAAACACGTAGTAGTTTTCAATATAGAGAAATGAATGTTTCAAATGTACACAGTGGTTACTTTACGGGTATTCGTACATGCACAAACAGGATGACGCAGTGATTTCCACAAATCAACGTGCACGTATGTTTGGCTGTAGTTAACGCTGCTGCATGCGTCCCTTTCATTGCGTTATTACTCTACAACACTCTATTCTCAATCCTGATTGGCTAATATCAACCGTGTTTAGTTGTGTACGTTTTCGTACCGCTCGTCCAAATAGGGTTAATGGGATACGATAACCACCGTTCTACTAATTTTAAATGTAGAACGGTGGTTATCGTATCCCATTAAACTCTAATGTCTTGGATTAACATTACAAATCCCCCTCCACCTAAACCTAACGTCTGATTTCAAGTTTGTTGGCTCGATATTTTTTTGGATTTTGTGTATAAGGATTGATGTTGTATCGCAAATTTGAAACTTTGAACCCCACATCCTCGCCTCTGGGCCATGGTCGCCTTTAAAAATGTAAACACCAGCAACCAATAAAGCAGACAATCAGATGCTGATAAATGTCCAATACAAGCAGCAAAAGTGGCACCGAATGCGCTTTTTTTGCCACATGTACTTGCTATTCTTCGCCTTGTGTTAAGTTTTAATTTTTGCCTGTAAATAAGGTTAAAGAAATCCAGTTAAGTGATGCTGAAAAGTGCTCGCTGGCGATGAATATGTTATTGTGATGGAGTATGTTTGGTTTTAGTTGCGACAACTCATTTACTTCAAAAGGGTTAACTCTTAGTTTGTGTTTTGCTGCAGAGTGTGACTGAGCAGTCGGACGAGCAGAAGCGGAAGGCGCTAAAGAAGGAGAACGATGCGCACAATGCCATGTTGACTGCTCAAGACAAGTACAGAAAAGCAGTGAATGAGCTGCAAGGAGACAAGGACAGACACAGGAGAGACATGGAGAACCAGTTCGGACACGCGCAGGTATGCCTGGATCAAGTTACCACTTTTTAACCCCGTCAGGACCATTTCGCCGTACCCGGTGCCACCTTGATGCGGCGGATGAAGTTATCATCCTCACCTTTAAATACACCAAGTTAAGATTTTCTATCCAAAATTGCATAACGTTGCATATAAAATATTCGATTCTGGTTGGGGGAAAATTTTATCCACGAATCAATTTAACATCCTTTTCCCTCATACATTTAAGGGGAAGATACTAACTATGTCCGTGTCACATACACTGGGCTGTTGGTATATAGAGCAATCACAAATATTGAGCAGTTACGCAATGTTCAATTAACAATCATGCAGCTTTTACTGAATTTATGCTAAGGATAATTGGTTCATATGAATTCGCAAGATTTGCTTTTCATTTTCGTTCTTTTCAACCACCGATTCTTCTGTTTTCCTGTCGTAACGATAAAAGATGACAAGATTGATGAAAGCGTTGCTTAAGGCTACAAATTTTGTCCGGCATTTGTCGAATTCTATCTAGATAATCCCAAGGTGCTGAAAGAAACTCTTCAGTGTCAAGTCAAGATAAGTATAGTTTTGCGAACAAAGAACTCCAGTCGTCATCCACCGGCGCATAATTTAAAACTCAGGAATTAATTATTGTATTTGGATTTTTATCCCAACTTTCTACATCGTAGCAGTCAATCAATGTTGATGTCAATCTAGGATATACTTTAAAATAGCATATGATTTTTTTCTACAGGACTTCGAGAAGAGTCGCCTTGCCTTCACTAAACAATGCATGCTAACAGTCTGCAATCATCTGAACGCTTCTGCCTACCCACAACATCCAGCTGTATACCCTTCGCTCCACAACCTACTGAACAAAGCCAGCATCGAGGACGATCTCTCGTTATTTGCCCAGAAAAGGGGCCTTGAAACAAGCCTTAACTGTCCTGATTATACTGAGTGGACGATCGAGATGGCAGGACCTAGTCTAGCATCGGCAAAGGGTGCGGCGTCTCTGAAGGCGGTACAAGCGGCTGTTGCTTTTGGTGATAGCAAGGCAATTGAATCGGGAACCGGCTCGTATCGCTTGCGAGCAGACACTTCGCCGCCTGCCAGTGCAACTCACGGAGCCGCGGAAGCTTCTTTCGAGAGTACACGGACACAAACTGCAAGTGAGTAACCAGTAAAGTTTAGTTTCATGTACGTTTATGTTCCCTCCAATGAACACAATATTTAACGGTGGTACTGAAACGCTTCTGTCGACAAAAGTTAACGATTTCTGTAGAACAATCGTTTTGGAGTCATTTTTGATCCAAATAGTAACCATGTGATAATATCCAGCTTCAGCTCTGTATTGATCACTTTAAAATGTTGAATGGTTTTATGCTTCAAATGAGATCAGTTAAAAATTAAATTAATTTGATTTTTTTAATTGGTGTTAGCATCAAATTCGTCCTCAAACTCTGCCTCGCTACGGCTACAGTCGCAAAGCACCTCAGCGGCTGTGTCATCTTCCTCTCTGCCACCTCCCCCCGAGTCTACCTCTCTACATGTCGAGCCCAAGACAGCCGCCCCCCGACAGACCACACCAGCAGCTGCCTCGTCCTCCTTGTCAGTAAACGAGGGAGTAGTTGTAGAATCATCAAATAACAACGTGGTGAGAGAGAAGACGAAAGTGGATCCCAAGACGGGAACGCTAGACACATTGAATCCTTTTAAATATAACACCATTCCAAGAGAGCCGACGGAATATGACAATCCTTTTGAGCACAGCGACGGCGAAAACTTAAATGTTAGCCGACTATTTTCATAACTTTTTTAATGAATATTAACTAGCTAAGTGAATTTTCCTGTTTAAATGTGGTTTTATCTTATTTTATATTGAAGTGGTTTCGCCTTTGGTTGGTACGCTTAGTAGTGGGAAACGTCCCTGCATTAGCGGCCACTCACAATTTGTCTACGGAAGTTATCGCCCTCGGAGAAGTCAACTTTTTGATTTTTTTTGGCAGAAAACTACCCCGAGGGACCTTCGGAATTTTTGAATTTTTGGCCGTTTGAAAGTTTTTGCCTTTTTGGCCGTTTGAAAGTTTTTGATTTTTCTCGAGAACTACTCTTCTAAATCTGAGATTTGGGGTTCAACCGAAATGACAGTTTGCGCGAATTCCTTCTGCACAAGCGAGCTACGCCTTTTTTTCACGCAAAAAGCTTTTGTTCTCGGAATTGACAACTTTTTGATTTGTTTGATCGTTTTTTGGACTTGCTAACTATCCTGCCAACTCTGATATCATAGGTTTAATCAAAAGAGCAGGTTGCTTAAAGTTTAAAGTCTACATTTTTAATTGGCCCTGCCCGGTTTGTTTAAGAAAAAAGTTATGGCCTTCAAACAGGTCAAAGTTTTGTAACTTTGACCGTTTTTGGAAACGTTTTGAATTTACGCGAAAACTACCGTGCCAAGTCTCAGTATGTGTTCGATCGAGAAACCCGGTTTTGGGAATCTTCTCTGCTTATGAGGTCACAACATGCTTTTTGCAGAAAAAATTTTTTCGGAGTTTGGAAAGTCTTGGGACTTTTTTGTAGAACTTTTGACTGTTTTTCTAGAAACTTCTAAAATTTTCTTAAAATTTGCGCAATCAAATCTGGGATGAAAAGTTCAATTGAAACAACCGGTTGCGATAATTGTTTGTTTCTACAGAAATGGCGACTCCATTTGTAAGAGAAATATTAGCTCCTTGTGAAAATTGATTATCCCGAAATTTTTCACTCTTCTCACTTATTTTAGAAGAGAAAAGCTAAGATTTTGGTCAAAGTCCAATTCTGAAATCAAGTTTTCTGTGTCGCATCAGTATAGAAAATTGATTCAATGTCAAACTTGTACCTGCAGCTTTAGCTGGGCCGTCGATCTTTTTATCGAGACTTAGGAAAAAAAAGTTTTTAAATGTTTAAATTTGTTTCGACTTAACGGTTTTTTAAAATGTTTTTTGTTGTATCTCAAGTGGTGCGAAGCTCCGCTTCGACTCTTTGTAGAAGCATGATTTTTCAATTCGTTATTGATTTATAGCTCAGATTAAGCTTTCCCGTGACACAAAAATGAACAAGCTATAATATAACGCATGTCTAAGATTCAGAAGTTGGTTCGTTTTGAGATTTTTCAAAAAATAGAAGTTTTCAGTTTCTATGTAGTTTTAATTGCGCTTGCGATTAGCAAGTGTTATCAAAGTGGAATAAAGAGTTTTTTTTATAGTTAACAGCAAGTTAACAAATCCAGTTGAATCACTTGACATGCTCAAGGCTCTTCACGTGACATGCTCAATGCTCTTCAATTTCATGAAAATTCAAAATTAAGTACTAGCTGAGTACTGGTTACTGCAGGGTGGTTTTCAGGGCGAAAAGTTGAAACTTTAAAAATTTTTTGCATAATAAGTTTTTTTTCGGCTCAACTGGTGTCTGCTTGAAGATAATCGGCCTGATTTTCGCTTCGTAAGTTTCGTCCAGTTGCTAATTTGAATTTTTTTGGGTTCAACCGAAATACCGATTGGTTGAATAATCTCTTCTAAATAAGCGGCTACGCCCAATTTTTTTTATAACAAACAGTCATGATTCTCAATTTTTCACCTTTAAATAATACCGTAGTTATTTTTTTTCGCTGAATTTACGAAAGATTCATGTTGATGGTAGCATTCATATTCCGAAATTGGACGCTTTTTTTTCTAGCCTGAGGATCACGTGTACTCTGCACCGGACAAACCCGAGGCTGGACCATCGTCTTCATCTAGACCTCCTGTGCCTCCGCCGCCTCCAGATGACTACGACGACTCATACTCGAATGGAAGCGAAGATGAAGCGACCCGAAGTGGCGCATCGGATAACTACCATGTAAACATGTCTCTAGGTAGCTCTGGGCCCGAGCCACTCCCTAGAGGCACTTCAGTTGCTATTCATCATCAAAATAACCAACATTACGAATCAGAAGACGAAGAAGGCCAAAGTGATGTGATTCACGATGATGTTGACGGACCGGAAATTACGAGGCAGAATGGAGCTCGGACGAATTGTGGTTCTGGTTAGACCGCCTTGATTTTACCCTCTTTTCCTTATTGAATACGCCGCCTACCTTTAGACGTTCACCTTGTGTTAAGCATAATTATGATACATTTAATTGAAGTTCATACTTTTACTTTTATCTCGAAATAGTTAAGCAAAATTTTCAATTGGGAGATTTCTGTTAAATTTCATACTTTTACTTTTATCTCGAAATAGTTAAGCAAAAACTCACAATTGGGAGATATCTGTTAGACTTCGTCGCTTATGGTCCAGTCAAGAGATAATATGATCTTGTTCAATATAAGGTATGCCTGAATTTTTTCCTTGACCCCGTGGCCCAAGAACTTAGTCTCTGAATTCGTTCATATCAGTCCGTTTTTTGTTTCGATAGATTTTCCTTGAGAGTTAGCAAATAGAAAGTAAACCAAATTGCGTTTGTTTTTAAGTTAAAATGATCGTAGTGAAGACATCTACACTAGTGGACAAAATTAAGCGCAAATTCAGGTTGTTATTCTCTAAAATGCCTGTTTTCAAAGTTCATTGGGACAATATTTACTTCGAATTTCAAATTTCCTCATCTGCACTAAGTTTCGCTTCGTAGTGAACCCTTTCTTGAATAAGCAGAGTGAAAAATTGTTCTAGCGACATAAAATTTTCTCAGCGAGAAAAATTTAATAAGTGTGAAAATTTTACTAAACTTGGCTGTTTCTGTCTTTTCACGCGGATTGAAAAACTTAGTGCAGCTTAGGAAATATGACATTTTCAGATCCGGATTACGTTGGTTAGTCTTTACACAAGCAATGCTTGTGTTATAGTATGAACTATCTTTTTTTCCCAAGCTAAGTCGCAAATGTTGTTGCGACACAAGTTTTGTTGCGATGAAATGTGTTCATTTTGATCAATAACCAACTATTAATTACAGTCAATGCTAAGGATTTTAACACAGACTATTATTATTCCGACCTTCGTAAACGGAAGTAACGGAATATTTGTGCTCGTGTGGTTTTTTTTTCTTCAGACAAATTTCGACTTTTTAACTAGCAGATTTTGACGGGATTATTTATAGCATTCAAAAAGTATTGTTGTCCTGAGCTTAAATTTGGAAATATATTTCACCTGTGATCATTTTTTGTAAAGCTACAGGGGGTTTTAAAATTGCCATGTACAATTTAGGGCAATTAACGCGCGATATATTTCGCGCTATTAACGCGTAAGCGGAGTTTCAATCCGTCATAGAAATCGTTCCAAATTGGTTGAAGGAAGCTGGTTTGCCGTAATTCATTTGTTACTAGGAGCGGAATTTATCACTTTGTACTTAATATGGCGTGTGAGGGGATGATTTTTACAAAAAATCTCAAATTAAAAAAAAATCTCTTTTTATCACATTTAATTTTTTCATGTTATTACTGCTCCAAAGACTGCTCTATAAATTGAGACATGTTAGTTGGTAATTTTTGTTCTATTGACTGGTACTGCTAATGCGTCCTAATCGGCGTGCGTCACTTAAGAAATTTTGTAGACACAATGTTTTACTTATTCAGTTTTTCCCAGTAGCGTTATTGAACATATGTTTGCTTGAGTATGCGAAGTGCAACTTCGCCTCTGTGTGAAAACCATACTTTGATAACTTCATAGAAGGTAGCTCTGATCATTTTCTCTCGGTCTATGTACAATTTTTTACTGATTTTCGAAGTGAACGTTGTCCAAAGTTGATATTGAAAACAGGCATTTTAGGGGGTAGAAACCCGAGTTTGCGCTAAATCTTGTCCACTAGTTTAGCTTGTGTTGATTTTTTTTTCTCAGAGAAAAAAATGTTGTTCATGCTCAAATTTGATTTTGATTTATTTTTATCAAGAGTCGATGAATGTTGTTGAGACTCTTATATAGGTTGTGATGATTTTTTTCGTTGATTTTTTCAGGAAAAGTTTCTTAATTTGTTAAAGCTCAAAATCACTTTTTCGCGGTTTGACTTCTGATTTCTTCTCAAGTTCTGTTCAGTTAAACGATGGCAAGTTCTACTATCGAACAGCGAAAGTGTAAATGTCATGAAAAACGCGACGGACTTCTAGTTTCGTAAGAGGATTTTTTTGCAGATTTTTCAGCAAAATTAAAAAAAATTTAATTGTTGATCCAGTTTTCTCAAATTGGGTAAATTTTATCAAAAAGTTGCCAATCATAAATTATTGTAGAAATTCAAAGAGCTTGAAGGGCATCTGTCGGTTTTTTGTTTCTGCTTACCTACCTTCATTGACTTTTTTCCAACTGTCTGTTGGCTTAGTTTTATTATCTCCAATCCAGTAAAATGAACAAGTTTTCTCTTTTCTGATATTTGATTTGCCCTGAAAACACTGTTTCTCTTGATTTTACAGCGATCTTTATCAGATGTGAGCGGAATGTTCTATCCGTAAACCTGCACCTAAATGTGTAGCTGGTTCATTTATTATTTGATTTGTACCATAAAGTGTCAGAAGATGCAACCAATTCTGCAAATAGTTTTTCAATAATTGTTGGTTTCAGAAAGGGGTGCTTGTGATTCAGTAGAAAGATAACCGGAACTAAGTCTTCATTACGCTTGCAATTAGCAAGCATTATCAAATTGGAATATAGGCTTTTTTTGTGTTATTATTAGCTACATTTTCGATAAGCAAGGTTTATCAAATTGGAATATGGATTTTTTTTGAGAGTCGATGAACGGAGCTCAGACTCTTTTATAGTTCGTGATGATTTTTTTCTTTTTTTATTTCAGAAAAGTCTGTCAAAATTTGTTCACGCTGAAATTTGGTTTCTCATATTTTTGATTTCTTTTTAAGTTCACTATATCTTCTCTGTTGAAGGAAGGCAAACACCACTATCGAACAGCAAAAGTATAAAGATCACAAAAAGCGGGATTGACTTTTTCTTCAAAAAAGGAATTTAATTTTCAGATTTCCCAGCGAAATGAAAATTTTACCTATTGATCCAGTTTGTTATTTTTAATATGTTATTTTTAACAAAAAATGTCAATCATAAGTTGTTCTAGAAAATCAAAGAGCTTTAAGGGCATAATTTTTTCTTGGAAATTCGAAAAATGAGATTTTTTCAAAAAACAATTCTTTTTTTTGTTTCATTGCGTGCTTTAACTATTTTCCAACTGTCTGTTGGTAATTTTTTTTTTCAATTCGTATTAATTTGTTAAACGGAAGGAAAATTACGCTCGCCCTTAACGAAAATTCAAATGGCTTGGAAGAAGTGCAAGAATTCCAATTTCAAAAATGGAGTTTAATTACAGGCGGAATATAAATGTTATCCATTGGACCAGCTTTTTCAAATTGGTCAGTTTTATCAAAAAAGTGTCGATCATAAAATTAAAGTTGATATTTTTTATTTCTTCAAAATGTTTTTTTTTGGTCAACTTGATTTCATTGATCTAACACTGCTCCAACTCTCTGGTAGCTACTATATTCATGAGATGTATAGTGCAACCCTTCTTGTACTCTTATAGTTAATGTTTTTTTTCTAGAAGAGAATGAAGAGTATTTGTACTTGCTATTGTTTTCTATCCAGATAGTTAGGTGATCAAAGTAGCCCTTCTGTTTACATTACTTCTCATGATGTCGGACCTTGAATGCCGAGAGAGATTTACCTGCAATTTTTGACGTAAAGGGTTTGTCATTTTTAATAAAAACATGCTTTTTACAATTAGTTGAAGATCTGAATAAAATTAGCCAGATAAAACTGCTGAGAAATTTCAACTTTTTAAATTCATTTTAGTTGAAGTTAAGAGCCCTCGCAGTTATAGTTAGCTCTTGTGTAGAAAATTCTACTATATTTTTTAAAGAATTCTAGAGAAATTTTACTGAACAGAGCAGATTCTTTTTTTTGGGTAAAGTTCATCGATTGCATAGTTTTTGAGGGATCGTTTTATATGTTGCCAGATAACATCAACTTGCTTTACTTTCAACGCATTTAACCTGTGAGCAGTTGTGAAGAGGCTTAATTTTTTGGGAGTTTGACAATTCGCTGGACCAAATTGTGCGCAATTTTATGCTCTTTTATGTGTATGTCTGATTTATTTGAGTGCAGCGCATTAGTCCAAATTTTAAAGATCTGAAACAATCATTTGAATATTGGAATAACGCAAGCTAAATGATGTCATAAATTTTTCTGCTAGATTAGATTTTTGTTTTTCCGCAGGTGGTGCTTATTGCACATGCGAATCGAGTGTATTTGTAGGAACCTTCTTTTTTTCCAACGTAAGTCGCAAATATTGTTGCCACTTGTGGGGCACCCCTACAGCTTTGACATTCGAATAATAATAAGTTAACACAGTTAATGCAGTTTTAATTCATCAAATGAACCGAAAAAAGTGATTTGTTTCAAACTACATAACAATAATGAAAACTCGTTTTCAGAAACTTTTAAACTCAATATATCTCGCAATTTTTTGAAATGCATATTTATTACATAATGTGTCTTTATGCTTTGCAATTTGTGACATGCAAGGTTAGTGTGGATGATTTCAGTTGGTTATATTCCAAATTATTACTTGCAAAACTGAGTCTATTTGTATTTGGCGACACTTGCTGAATCGATTGGCAATTTATTAGCATATAGAGCTGCTTTATTCGTGACTAGTGTTTGTCGGTTGTTAAGCTTACATGGCTGAAAGGATAGTGCGTGAGACTCAGTCTTTTTGTTGCAGTAGGTCGCAGATTCGAATCCTACACGTAGCCGAGTTTTTGCTAATTCGAGGCTTATTTCTACTTTTTCTTACTTCACTTCATAGAGCTGCTTTTTGGTTGTGTTCTCGCAAGTGTTTGCGAAGCGCAGCTTCAACCCTGTATTCAAGTTGATTTTAAAGAAACGATGAACGTATTTTAGACTCTTATATAGGTCGCGATGATTTTTTGTTTTTCTTTTCAGGAAAAATTTGTTTAGTCTCAATTTTTTTTTGCGGTTTGGCTTTTGGTTTTTGTTCAGTTCATTTGCTTTGTTCAAAGAACAGCAAAAAAACACTATCGAACAGCAGAAGTATAATGGTCACGAAAACTTCTTGTTTCGATAGTGGAATTGATTTTTAAAGTTTCTCAGCGAAATAAAAAAATTATTTATTGATCCAGTTTTCTCAAATTGAAATTATTTTGTCTAAATATCCTAAATTGTTCCAGAAGTTCGAATAAGCTTAAGGGCATCTCTTGTTTTCTTTGAAATTCGAAAGTTGAAATTTTTTAGAAAACAATCCAGTATTTCTGTTGTGTTCATTGACTCTTTTCCAACTGTTTGTTGGCTATGTTCTGTCACGGATCTTTTCCGTGTTCTTGGTTTGTTTTCCTTTTTAAGTTCATTTTTAACTATTGGAGCTACATATTGCGCATTTATTTGTGTGTGTTTGTGCAGTGCACTTTTCCCTATGTGGATCCTTGCGGAATTTTGCTGGTTTTAGTAGCCGTATAGTGAAGCACTGATAATTTCATTCAGAAGCACATTTATCCAAGAGTTTTTGAAATTTAAAGTTGGGAATGGCCCCAGTTTCCGTGACGTAGCGTGATGAAGGTGGTAGAAAGGAGAGATGGTGAGGTGGTTACGTCTTCGCCTCTCAATTGATTGTACGAGGCCCACCATGATTTGTGCTCGTTGCTTGAGGGTGAGGCGACGTTACCTAACCAAAAAATTGCATCTAGTTCTTAAGCAGGTACGCAACAGCGGCGAAGAGCTGCAAAACTTTTATGTTCTTTCTCTCGTGGATAATTCGAAACTTAATGTAGAGAGTTAGTTATGTCAAGAAGCCGTAATTCAAAGAACGTGTTTTATTCTTACAAGAAGCCGTAGAAATAACTGACTTCCAATCTTTTGCTTTTTCTCCTTAATTAATTGACCAATTGTATTGATTTTCTGACCAAGTCGTGCACAGGACAGTTATTTTATCACTTCAAAAAATCACTTTTAATACTTTTTGTGGTTCAGCAGCTGAGAAAAGTAGAATAGCAATAATTTACACGCAGCTGCAAACGCACGAGAGAGAGAGAGAGAGAGAGAGAGAGAGAGAGAGAGAGAGAGAGATTTGTAATAGTTGATTTATCATTTAGTACTTGAAGATAATTCAGCAAAAAATCCCACAGCACTACAAGGGCGAGATCTTATGTTCAAAAATGCTAGAATACGTTGTCTGCTGCATTTAAAAGTCTAATTGTCCTGTCATTCTAACACGCAGTCTTGTGAAGTTGCGATGAAAAAGGTGGTTTGTCACTAATTTTCGGTCGTTAGTTTTTTCCGACGAATAAATTATTTTTCTTATGCAAAATCACTCAAAAAGCTATCTCGACTGAGAAAATACATGGCTGCTACAATGGCATATATTTAAATGGTATTTTGAAAAAAAGTTGGTTAATTTTATATAAAAAAATGATGAGTTTTCTGATATTTATCCAATAGTTTTATGATGCTTGATTTGTAACTTCAAAGTTGAAAGTTTCATTGTGTTTTGTCGTAATTATACTCGTCAAAAGCAGTGTTGATTTAAATTTAAAAAATCGTTTTCTACACCTTAAATTTATTTTATTGAGTTTGTTGTAAGCGAGTTTTCGCATGCATGATATTTTAACAGATGTAATAATAGTTTTGCTGTCTTGGTTTTAATCTTATCACCAAAAAGTACAAGCATCGGTTTCCGTAGAATATCAAGTTATTACCCTTGCGATTGGCAAGGGTGTTGCGACCGGGTACTAGATTTTTTCCCGTAAATAATTTTATTCACAGATTTCGCCCGTGGAAAGATAACGTGTTTTACTTGCTCTGATTTAAATTTGGCTCTTTTTTACTTCCCTCGTGGGCTCGATTGTTGGATCTTCGTGGTCCCAGAAGGGGCGCGCTCATAACTTAACTATACTGGCTTAAATTTGCTATGAAAGGCTCACTAATAGCCTAACGTGGCTAAAAGAGCGCGGGGATACTTTGATGCTGAAACTTTAACGCGCATTATTTACGCGTGGCGAATTACATGCACCACGAAATTCTTCAAAATTCAATTGAGGCAGGCTAATTGGTCTTACCAATTCCATACACGATTCTTAATATTCAGCTTAAAATTCATAGTTTTTCAATACTTGATTAAGCAAAAACTATTCGAGGCCAGTTTATGGACAGTCGGAACATTCAAGGTGTTGCCCTGATACGAGCAGTTTTGTTGATGTTTTGTAATTGTTGGTGTTATTATGGCTGAAAGCGTAATGTTACTATGTAAGGTATGAAGATCAAATTTTTTCACAATTTTTAGTTCACCATGCCAAGTTTCATTGTATTATGAAAGTTAAAAGAGTTTTTCTAAATTGAAATTCAAAGGTGGGTGCAAAGTTGAAATGAGCCATAAGTTCAATTCCAAGGAGATTTTGAAGCAGAGGTGAAACTATATTTGAGGCGACCAGCTCGAGTTCGATTTCAATCGGGTCTTGTTTGTTTTCCATGCAAACTAAGGAACCACAAACTATCATCGGACTGGGTTGAGTGGTATATCATATTGGAGCCCTTACCGTCGTGATTCGAAATACATTGAGCGTCTCAGTGTTGCGAAAAACTTGAAATTTGTGAATTTTCGGTTTGAATTTTATGATTTTTTGTTTTGTTTCGAGCGAATAAAGCGAGCGAGCAGTCTTAAAAAGCTTACAATAGCTTAATTTAAAACGCAAAACTTAGTTTTACTTGAATAACGTTGAATAAGTTAATTTTGAGTTTTTTAGCGCCTTTGTGAATCAAAATTTTCAAAAAAACTGCAAAAAAAACTTGAAAAGTTTTCGAATTTTTTTTAAATTTTCTTTTTTCTTTTAATTTTTCTACCAGAATTGTTTTTATATTGCGTATTTTATTATACCTATCCAATATGCCTAGTCTTTAGTTTTTTTGTTCAGGTCCTTTGATCACAACACGCCGAAAAAAAAACTATAATAATTAGAAAAAACGTAACACAGTAACCGGCTATCCTTGTTTTTTGCAAGCTGAAAGTTTTAGGCTATTTTTTTTTCGTATTTTCATCGTCCGTCTGCTTAATTTTTTCGGCTTAGTTTCCGCAAAAAGTTTTTTTAATTTCAAAGTTTCTAATGGTGCAGGTCATTTTTTTCCCAGATTTTTCTTTTAATTTAATGAAAATGTTTGATAAAAAACTTCTTAGTTTTTTTTTCAATTGATTTTCCTATTCATTCATTTGCAATCAGAGTTATTCATTTTAGTATCGAAAGCGTAGCTTCGCCTCTGCGTCTCAAAAATCATTTTAAAAAAGAGCAATGTAGTTTTTTCTGCATCGGAACCTAGCTATGTTTTTCGTTCGAGGAGGTTGAAATCTGGTTTTTTGTTTGAAGAGGTTCAAATCTGGTTTGAATCAGCTTTTGTTTCCATTCCGGTTGATTGAAATGTTGCACTGGCAACGTTTTTGAACAGGCAAGGCTTTTGTTATCGGTAAGAAGCAAGTAGCCGACTGTCTAAATGATTCTATATGGAACAGTAGATAGTAGGTTAGTTAAGCGGACTCCCCCTCAAATCTAGTACTCATTGTTTTAATTATCAAGATAACTGAAGCGGTCTCTTTTGTGATTTAATTTTAACAACTGCTGTCGCTTTCAGTGGTGAGAGACGAATCGAAAGTGGAGCATGACGGAGTCCCGGTGAGAGCACTCTACTCGTACGAAGCAGACGAAGAGGATGAAATATCGCTCGACGCGGGAGAGGAGTTTGTCAAATTGGCCGACGCGGACGAGAACGGATGGGCATACGGTTTCAGTAAAAACAGATACGGGCTCTATCCGGCGTCATATGCTGAGGAAATATAATTGAGATCCAGCTTGAATTGTGGATGAAATAGGGATTCTTTAGGTCGAAGTCTCACACCTGTGAAAACTCCTCTCCGTTTGAGAATAGAACTTTTGCAAACTTCTATCTGCTTAATTTACAATGGATACAACTAATTAAATTGACCAGTTTAAGTAGTTTTTATTTTTGTATCATTTATCGACAAAATTTTTGTCTGAATATTTTCTATTAATTGCTTTTCGGGTAATTTTGGTTCTCCGGAACATTGAATCCTTTCTTTCTGTTCCATCCCAGAAGTCACACTTTGTGCTATAGATTTTGCTTTGCATCCTTTCTAATCATCAATAATCAATCAATCAATCCATTTTATACTTGCGTTGTAACAAGATCCAGCTTCTACAAGCCGCCATGTTTTGCCGCATATCCCCTCCGATTTCGGTGGTACTGTGCTGAATTCCCTCTGTGCTTACGACTTATTCCTTCAGATAAAACCCAGTGTTCCTGAAAGCTATCCTGATTATATATCGCTTTGGACTAGCAGATAATTTTTGTATATAATGTTCAATATTATTAACGTAATATTTGTGGTTACCTCGGAGAATATGATTTAATTTTTTGAATTGTAAATGAGCAGGTTGAGCATATTTTTTAGGCAATGGCTCATGACTTTATTTAAAAGAATTTAATTTTTTTTACTTCTATCAAGCGAACCTTACTTTGTCTCTAGGTTACGACTCAATTCTGATGTGAGCTAAAAACAGCATATGAATTTAAATACGGTTGATACATTGAATGAGCTTGTGTTTTGCATCTCAGGTGAGAGGATAGAAGTTCTTCCTGATTAGTTGTCATGTGTGTGCGTGTGCGAGTTTTTCCAATTTATTCATCTCTGCTATCAGCGATGTCCTACATGTAAACATAATTTCTTACAGAATAATTTTTTTCGATAGCTCTGATGAGGTGTTACTGAACAAAGGGAATTTTCACTTATTCAGATCACATGCTTTTTTTTCAGTAAAAAGTTCTAAATTTTGTTCACGTTTTTATTTTTTATATAGTGGCTTGACTTATGATTTCTTTTGAAGCTCGCTCTCCAAATTGATTTTCAAATAGATGTCTAAAATTCTTTTTTTTTGCAAATTGTCAATGAACGAATTATAATCATTTATTTGGGTTGTGTGGCTCTTTTTTTGAGTCGATGAACGTCATGAAGACTCTTATATAGGTCATAATGATTTTTAAAAAAATCAGGAGAAACCTTAAATTTTGTTCAGTCTCAAATTTGATTTTTCGCGGTTTGACTTTTTTACAAAGGAAGGCAAACTCCACTATCGAACAGCAAAAGGGAAAATATTTTACAAGATGCAAAAAAATTATGCGAAAATTGTGGAGCTTTCTATTCGCTTGACTACCAATTAGCAGTACTTAACGAACTGTTTTTGTGAATGAACTTAGAAACAGCCTCAATATAAGACGTTTTTTTAAAAAATGCATTCTAATCTGCAAAATAGTGAAAAAAAATTGGTTTTCCTTGAGCTTTGTTAGCAATTACATATGTTTTTGGTTGTTCGATTTTTGTATCATGCTTTCTCAAAACAAAAAGCAGCGATCTAATCAAGATCGAATTTTAAAAAAATGGGTCTGCTTACTTGTTTTATGTCAAATAAATCTAATTTTTGCGGCTTTTCAAAACAATAATCGACTTCTTTTCGTCCAATAATAATGGGAGTTTTTTTTTAATTTTGACCAAAAACTTTCTCGCGCAGTTTGTCCTAAAAATTAGTCTATATTAGCGGCAAAGTGTTTATTAATTGCAAAATTTTGTGGTTGTTTGGCCAGAATGGGTATCATGAAAAGTACGGAAGGGTAACAATCTGTAGAACGGTAGGTATACCATGGGTAGGGGAAGAGTGGAGCGAATCCTTCAGTGGGGACGCGAAATAAAACAGAAAATGAAACGAAAAAAAAAGTTTTAGCTGTTAGTTCTCTGAATCGACAATCACTCTGAGTAATTCAATAATGGAATCTGTTATTTGTCAAGATGTCATCCGAAAGTATTTTTCTCGAATTTGAAAAGCTTAAATGTGAATCAATTTTTTCCATAATTTTGAAATGTCAGAATGAGAATAAATCTTTGTCACAAACCTGTTTTTCACTGCAATAAACAAGTGTCTGCTGCATATATACGCTTAGAATTCATAATGCAACAGGTTGAAGATTGGTTTTCGTTTGAACCACCTTGATGGGTTTTGAACACAATAAATTCTAGTAAAAATTGCACTCAAAGGTTTGGCTTACTGTTACAACACCTCTTGTAGCATGTGTAAATGTTTCTAATGACGTGTGCTGTAATGATTCGGGCTATTGTGTTCACTGGGATATATTTTTATGAGATACCTTGGAATGGGATTTTTTTGCTGAGGATACCTTGTTCTGTCACCGAAAAGACTAAACTTAAGTGTTTTTTGTTTTCATGTTTTTCTTAAAAATCTTGATATATATTTTTTGAAATCAGTCCAAAAAATTGTCATTTGAAATAACTTTGGGTCAATTTTTTTCACAAGCTTTTATGCAATAAGACTCATTCGATAAGCTTGATTCTAATCAGAACTCAATTTTGTTTTTTTTTTTTGAAAAATTTTCAAAATGTTTCTTTTTTCGACCGCATTGATGGGTTGTGAACACAATCAAATAGAAAAAACTGAACTCAAAAATTCAGCTGGCTGTTACGTCAACTGTTGCATGGGGAAAAATCTTGCCGAATATTTTATTTGACATAGTTTATAATGTTATTGTGTCTACTGAAGTCTCTTGTTGTCAAAACAAGACTCGGAGAATCGGTTAGTCCATTACTTAATGAGACGGCGAAAAAACCAGCCCACAAAGTTTCTAAAATTGTCTCGCATATTTGCTCTTTTTCAAATCTCTAGCCGGATCATACTGTTCGACTTTGATATATACTTTGTCAATTAATTGTACTTCCTCTATTAACCGAATGAGAGCACTTTTCAAGCGCGGATCTAGTATTTGCTCACAGGGTCCAATTTTCAAAGTTTTTCTTGAATTTTTTCGACTTTGCTTCAGGTCGACTATTTTCCGAGCTCTTCTAAAACACTGTTTTTTATTTGCTGTTTTGATGAAATTTTCTGCTCTGCAGACAAAAATGTGAAAACAGAACAAAACGATGTTTTTGACACTTTTTGGCGCTCGTGGTTAACTCGGATAATGATTTAGTTTTTGAATTGTAATTGAGTAAGTTGAGCAAATTTTGGAGGCAATGGCTCGTAGTTTCTTTTAAAAAAATTAGAATTTGTTTTGTTTTCTATCAGGAAAACTTTTTTCGTATCTAGGTTACGACTCAATGCTGATAAGAACAAAAATTAACATATGAATTTAAATACGGCTGATAATTTGAACGAGTTTGTGTTTTTCATCCCAGTTGGCTGGATAGGCGTCCTTTGTGATTAGTTGTTGCTGAAAAAAGAGTCTTCAACTCTTATTCAGATAAAAACTTCCTTAGTTTTTCACGTTTTCATTTTTTGTATAGGTGGCTTGAATTACTTGAATGAACGAGATGAAGACAAATACGTAGAAAAACAATCAAATAGAAAAAACTGAACTCAAAAATTCAGCTGGTTGTTACGTCTCTGAATTGCCAAACAATTTGAAAATCCAATACTTGAATCAATTTTTCGTCAATATATCATTCAAAAATATTTTTCCGATTTTGTAAAACTTAATTGTGATTCAATTTTTTCCATAATTTGGAAATGTCAGAATGAGAACAATTTCTTCTCACACACCTGTTTTTCACTGCAATAAACAAACGTCTGCTGCACAATGTACGCTTAGAATTCATATTGGAACAGATTGAAAACTTATTCGCTACTCACCTTGGTTTTTGTGATCACCTATCAGTAACGCGCATCAGTGGTTCCTTGAAGTACTCGGGCAAACAATTTCTTCTAGAATTCGACTCCGTTGAATCGCTTAGAATTCCAATTTTTCTTGCTATTTTCAATCTGGCTAATAGAAGTAAATTAAACGTTCCGTTTTTCTGGTTGTAAATACGAAAAGTACTTTTTGGCAGTTTTTTGTTTTGTAATTCAAACTGTGCAGTCTTGAGATTTCCCAAAAAAATTCGGGTCAGAACAGAGCTTTATGAAAAAAAAAATCATTTTTTTTAAAGTTTCTGTGAAATGAGTTCATTATATCAAGTCCAAAAAAGTTTTTATTTCAATTCATTTTGGGTCAGGCTTTTGCTTTTGAAAAAAAAAATTCATGCAATACGACTCATTTGATAAGCTGGTTTCTAACAACAAATCGTTTTACTTCTTTAGGGTTGCTTACTGTTACGAAACCTCTTGTAGCATGTGGAAAAATCCGAATGTTTCTAATGACGTGGGCTATATTGTTTTTCGGGCTATTGTGTACACTGGGATATTTTGTTATGAGATACCTTGAAATGGGATACTTTTGTTTAGGATACCTTGTACTGTCACCGAGAAGACAATAGCATAGATTATTATTTGTTTTCATGATTTTCAGTCACCTCACAGCGCTTGATGAGATCGAGAGTGGTGTAGGATCAAAATTCTTCACTCGTAATAAAGACGATTCATTAGAGAAAAAAATCCATCATTGTCGAAAAAAGACTGAATATTTGGGCTTCAAAATTAATTGACGGAGCGAATGGATACTTAACTAGTAAAATCGGTTAGTCCATTAGTTTTTTAGAGGGCACGAAAATCGGCCCACATAATTTTCCAGATTTTTTCTTGCTATTAAACATCTACCCAAAATATTTTGTTCTACTTGGATGTAGATTTTGTCAAATAGTCGTGCTTCTTAGAATAACCGAGTTCGAGTTCCTTTCAGGGGCGTATCTAGACATTCTATAAATAATTCATATTTACATATCTTGGTTTACGTATCTTGGTTTAAAAAAAATCACCATTGAAAAAAGTTTTTTTTATGGAGTGCTGCAGTGCTCAATTTTAGGCCTACTTCTTTTCTTTATCTTCATAAATGATTTATCCTCAAGAAAACAAAAACTCATACTTTCCCTCATGCTGATGACACTGCATTTTTAAGTTCAGCATTAAAATTTGTCCGAAAAACCTTTTTCTCACCCTCGATACGATACCGATAAAACACAAACTATGAATTTCAAATAGTCAAAACAGAAAGTTGTTATTAAAGCGCAAATGAATAAGTGTTAGTGAAAATTGGAAATCATTTAGGTATTTTCAAGAACAGACAATAATTTTTTGCTAATCAGTTTTCTATTCTCAGTAAAAAAAACACATTTTGTATCAATTAAGCAAAGATTTATCCTAGAAACAATCGATACCTGCTTACAAAGCAATTGTGGAATCTATTTGTCAATATGGGGTTTTAATATCTGGTTCTTCAAACTTAATTGTCATGAAACAACTGGATTATGATCTCAAGAAAGTATACAGAACATTTTTATTCAAGTGTAAATTCGACCCAATAAAGTTAGCACGGGAAAGACACAAACTGTATACATCTACTGAACTGCATGCATGTTTTTGAAACTTTTAAACCATTATGCGAAAAATTTCCCGTTAGATTCTTAGCGCAACGTAAGAACTGAAGAAGGCCTAAGTAAAATTTTTTTTGTAAAATATCATAACAGAGAAGAAACTCACAGCGCTTGATGAGATCGAGAGTGGTGTAGGATCAAAATTCTTCACTCGTAATAAAGAAGATTCATTAGAGAAAAAAATCCATCATTGTCGAAAAAAGACTGAATATTTGGGCTTCAAAATTAATTGACGGAGCGAATGGATACTTAACTAGTAAAATCGGTTAGTCCATTAGTTTTTTAGAGGGCACGAAAATCGGCCCACATAATTTTCCAGATTTTTTCTTGCTATTAAACATCTACCCAAAATATTTTGTTCTACTTGGATGTAGATTTTGTCAAATAGTCGTGCTTCTTAGACTAACCGAGTTCGAGTTCCTTTCAGGGGCGTATCTAGACATTCTATAAATAATTCATATTTACAAAATATTTTATAAGTTTTGTCGACCTTGTTTTGATTCTTTAGCTATTTTGATTCTGCAAATTTGTAAAGTTTTTTTCTGATTTGATAAAAATTTTCGCACTGCGGGCAAAGTTTTGTATTACAGACAAAAGAAGTTTTTTGACACTTTTTGAAAGGTTTTGATCGATAGTTGTGTTTTTGTTCCGCGCTCGCTCTCCACTAAAACTTTGTTTTGTCTCCAATAGTGCCTCTAGAAAAAAAATGGGCTCCCTGTCACTTTAGTGTTTTTGCAGATTTTATGTGTCAACCAACGTGTTTTTATGTTTTTTTATTGTTTTTTTGTTAAATTTTTTTTATATTCATTTACTTATTTTTATTGATTTTCTTTGCATTTTTTGTTTTCACTCATCTGTTTAACCGAAGTTTAAAAAAAAGAAAGTTGAAAATAATAATAATTTTTGGAAAACTTTTTCTTTCGAGCTAAAAAATCAATCGACCAAATCCAAAAAAAGGTTTAAAAGGAAACTGTTCAGTGACAAAAAGTGCGATCATTACCAGAAAACTTCGAAAAGCTAACAATATTAAGAGAAACTTTGAACGAAAATCCAATTGCAATTGGTATAGCTGAAACTTGGATGAAAAAGAAAGAAAAAAAATCTGTTCACAAAATGAGCGACTATCATAATATTGAGACGAGTTTGGAAATTACAACAGAGACAAATAATTGATCAAACTTTAAACCAAACCACTTCAAACCGAATTGGTATTTTATAGCAAAGGCAAAGCACTTTCTTCTAATATGTGTTTATATACCACCTTGCTCGGTTGATGAACAAACCTTTAAATCATTGGAAAAATTAATCATTCCTTCTAATGCAACGCAAATTATTTGCGGTGACTTCAAAAAAAATATTGCCGGATCATCGAAAAATTATTTTGTTTTGTCAAATATTCAAAAGTGAAGCAAAAAGATCAAAACCGGTATTAGATTTACTTTTTTCTAAAAATCTAGGTTGTTAAAAACATCTCACAGCAACACTTTTGCATCATTACTTTATAGTAATGAAACAAAAACAATACTTGATTTATCAACTCAAGTGTTTTTTAATTGCAGATTCTAGAATAAAAACTATTAGCTTTAGGCTTATACAGAACCTCAGAGAAGAAGTCAAAATAAAACTATCAGTTAATCGCTACAATTTCACGCATATTAACTGTGAGAACGCATTTCTCAATTTGATTACATTTTTCATTGAGTTATTGAACAAATTTGTACCAGCAAAAAAAAAAGAAAACGGAAAAGTAAAAAACAGAGCAAACAACAAAGTTAGACTTCGGCAATTCTACCTCAAACAAAAAAATTCCATAAGCCGTGAAAGGTATAACGCGCAAGAAAAACACGTTAAGCACCTGATGCGAGACAAGAAATTATCACACTACTAAATGAAAATTAACACAAAAGCTGAAAGTAATTGCAGGGAATTTTTCACACTTGTCAATGATGTAACCTAACCGGTGAGAGTAAACCAAAAATTATGAAAATGAGTCGAAATTTCAAAAAACAGTTTTCAACCATAGGAGAAAAATGAGCAAAAGAGATAAAAACGCAGCATAGCTAAGATGCGAGAGCAACACTTACAATCAAAAACCTTAAGACCGATTAAAATATTTAAAAATTATGAGATCTTACAAAATTTAAAATCAAATTTTAATGCAGATTCTTTCAATTTGAAATTTTTTCTTGAAACTGATAGTTAACAATAACGTCCTAGTGCTCCAATAGTTAATTACAAAAGTGTTTCGAAAAAGGCAATTTTCGTGCGTGCTTAGAAACTGCAGAAGAATTCCAGTTCATAAAGAGAGATTTAAACGTAAACCAAAACTACAGACTAGTTTCCTTGCCCGCTTCGGGTAAATTATCTGAAAAAACTATCTCATAATGTTTGAAAATACTAATTGAATAAACGAGTTTTTCAAAGATCACAATTTTCTACAGATTATACCATTTTGCTTCACAAAAGACTTAAGCTCAATTGATGCCGTAGTGTCACTTATTGAAACGATCCGACTTGAGCGAGACCATAAAAAATTAAGCAATAATATTTTATTGATCGTGAAAATGCTTTGGGCATGTTAAACCACACACAACTTCTAGAAAAACTTACTCTTATGGGTTGCGTGGTCCCATTTTTAAATGCTTCGCATCCTATTTTGAAAATTGGACACAGTTTACGTATCTTGGTTTAAAAAAATCACCATTGAAAAAAGTTTTTTTTATGGAGTGCTGCAGGGCTCAATTTTAGGCCTACTTCTTTTCTTTATCTTCATAAATGATTTATCCTCAAGAAAACAAAAACTCATACTTTCCCTCATGCTGATGACACTGCATTTTTAAGTTCAGCATTAAAATTTGTCCGAAAAACCTTTTTCTCACCCTCGATACGATACCGATAAAACACAAACTATGAATTTCAAATAGTCAAAACAGAAAGTTGTTATTAAAGCGCAAATGAATAAGTGTTAGTGAAAATTGGAAATCATTTAGGTATTTTCAAGAACAGACAATAATTTTTTGCTAATCAGTTTTCTATTCTCAGTAAAAAAAAAACACATTTTGTATCAATTAAGCAAAGATTTATCCTAGAAACAATCGATACATGCTTACAAAGCAATTGTGGAATCTATTTGTCAATATGGGGTTTTAATATCTGGTTCTTCAAACTTAAGTGTCATGAAACAACTGGATTATGATCTCAAGAAAGTATACAGAACATTTTTATTCAAGTGTAAATTCGACCCAATAAAGTTAGCACGGGAAAGACACAAACTGTATACATCTACTGAACTGCATGCATGTTTTTGAAACTTTTAAACCATTATACGAAAAATTTCAAAAAAATTTCCCGTTAGATTCTTAGCGCAACGTAAGAACTGAAGAAGGCCTAAGTAAAATTTTTTTTGTAAAATATCATAACAGAGAAGAAACTCAAAAAATTTAACGACCAAAAAAGCCTCAACCAGAAAAAAAAACCTTTTCTTAGATAAAATCATTTTGAGCAATTGAGATATTTTGAACATAGCAAGCAGCTAAGAAATTTAATAAAACATCAAAGCATGATTTTTTATATTTCCTCTTCTTTCTTTTTTTTAAAGAAAGCTCGTACTCTTTGAGTTTTTGCGTTTTGGTCGATAATGATGAAAATCGGAGTTAGGAAAGTGAGAAAACGATTTGTTTTTTTTTCCGCTCAGAGAAGTCTGAAAACGGACCAGAAGGTCTGATGACTTTTTCTCAGGTTTTTTTATGGTTGTAAGTGTGCTCTTATAAAGTCATTACTGGTATACTATTCTGAAAACATTAATTATGATTAAAATAAATGTTTTTATGCAGTTCACTTGCATTTAAACGGAGTTGCGTTTAAGTTTTCCGCTCTTTGAATTGTTAACGACCCCACCACCCCCAAAATTGCTACTGGCTGCTTTGCTACTTTTTATATTGGGTTTTCGCGATTGTAGGCGTGCTAAACAAGTTCATAATTGACGTTTATTTAATGAAGTTTTCTCGGATTTACTTTTTTGTAAGTGAACTTCAACAAATTCAATCAGCTTTATTGTTCACAAACTTTTTCAAATGCCCTATAGAAAATCTAGCGCAGCATACATTCAGTTTGAGCTAATGGTTACGTGCAAAATATGTTTTTTCCTTTTTTATTTACCCGTTTTTTGGCTATCGTTTGGCTCAAACGTTGACTTAGTTGATTTTTGGTTTATAAGTGCAAAAAATGTTTTTATGTAGCTCATTTACATTCAGAGAGAATGAATTATTTTTCTACGTAGTTTTATTCTCCCCCTAACTTGACCTAAAATGATATGTAATGACTAAAAATGTTCTCGAAAATAATTAAATAAAGGTCACAGTAACCTAAAAACTCGTGGTAATTAATGATACATCTGTTTTTCTTATTTTTTTCTTGAGGTGGGTCTGAGAGTATTGATTTGATTCATGAGTTTGATGAACTCTTTCTCTGTGATTTTTCCGTCCTTGTTCAGATCGGCACTGCCGACCATCAATTCTAATTCGTCTTCTGGCAACACTAGATCATTCGAGAAACACCAGCTGCGCAGCGCTGCAATTGTTACGTGACCTGGAATTGAACAAAATAAGTCGGAAACTCGTATTTTGGTTCTTTTCACTAAAGATTTGCATTTTGTGATGATCGCAAGTCTAAAATCGTAAACCTTTAGTTTGAACTCATTTGCCAGTCAACAAGGAACGATGAATCATTTAATATTGGCCGGAGGATTCGGACAAAAAAGTGGCAATACTCAATAAACGGGACGCCATAATCAACACCTACTGACCTTCCTCTAGACAGTCCAGCTGTTTGTAGAATTTGTTCACTTGTTTCAGAGTGACTGGCTGACTCTTAATGATCTCAGTGTAGCACTTCTCGAACGCCCTGTAGTTCATCTTTAGCTCCCCGTCCACGTCGTCCAACTCACAGTGTTGCGAGATCCTCTCGTCGCTAACTGCTATTCCTGCAGAAAAAGAAGGAGTTACTCAAACAACAAACAAATAAGAACCTATGTAAAATGTGTATTTGATTTCATTGTATGTGGAGTGGATTTGAATTATGTTCAAGGTCTTCTAACTTTAATTAAAGGCTGGCTGCTATATACCTGAATTCATATCGTTGGGCTTAAAAGGTTCTTATACACTGTGGCATGCACAGAAACGTGTTTGATGAGGTTTTGAAAAAATGTGTTGACTAATTTCCAAGTTTTGGGAAAAAAGGCGTCATTGAGCGCTTTTTTTATGGACGGTAAAATTGCGGTTTTTTGATGCAAGCTTCTACCTCATAATTAGCATATACTAGCTCCAAAGAGGTCTTTAGAAAATTGTTTTAAGTTTGGTTAGTCAGAAATTGGTTGGGCAGTTGGCTATCGTACAAAAGTGGCAAAGGGTGGGTGACCCTCAGCACCTTCATGGCAAGCGCGGAGGGCCACCCACCAAGGAATTGACCCTGCATTTATAATAAGTACATACTAATGAACTGACCTAGCAAAAAGAGACACTTCTTCACGTCATGTCGACTCACTTTTCCAGGAAGCCCATCAGCCTCTGACTCACATAGTGCAGTAAAGGCCTCACTCAATTTCAGTTGATCTCTCTTACTGATCTTAGTTTCCTTTACAAATTTCTTAGGTACTGAGGGTGGCTCTGTTTTACTAGTAATCGGAGGAATCTGTTCGAGATTTGCAGTGGAATTGCCCTTGTTTTCTAGACCATACTGACCATTTGTGACATCGGCAGCGCTGGAGATTTTATCAGTTGTATCATCCTCGCCTGTTTGTGTGTGGACAGTTGACATAACAGAGGCCCAAAAATAAATAGATTGACCAAATTAGACGTGAATAAAAGCGGTGTAAGTTTAAAAGATTAAAATTATTGGAGAAAAGCCGAAATTCTTAATTTCAAGATGAATTAATGGGATTTTTGTGTGATTTGTAGGTGGTGTTGCAATTTTCACCTGTGTTGGTGCATTCGTTTTTTTTGAAAGAGTTTTCTGAGTGTTTTTTCTCCAAGTACAAAATTAAATAGTTTGCTCTTGAAAACTGGCCGTTTCTTAATCCTTAAAAATGCACAAATGCTTTTGTGATGAATTGGAGAAAATGAATAAATTATGATAGACAGACTTTTGTTTTCTTTTTCTGATCAATATATTGAACATACCTTCATGCAGAAACTGAAAATAAATGAGAAATTTAAAAGGAGCTATAAAAAGTCAGTCTTTCTGTAGATTTGCTCTTGAGTTAATTGAAATCCAACAATTTGAAGGCTGCTGCTGATTTAATAATTACTTTGTCAATCTTCGAGACAGATTAGGTAATTTTTAGTTTTTAACAAACAAGAACGAGTGTAATTTATTCGGAATTGCTTTAAAAGTAAATACTTTTTGTAAGTGTTTAACTGTTATAGCAATAGCAGATTGGATAATTGGAAAACTCATAGCAAATCATAAGAACATTGTTTTAAAACTTAGTAAAAGCTTAACACTTTATATATTTTTTAGTTCGTACTAAGTCAAAAAGTTCAACGCGTGAACAAAACCGCAGATGTTTATTTGTTTTAGTGAAACCAATAAATAGTTGACAATTTTTTGAGTGTATTTTATTGATTTTACAATCAATTGAGTCTCGCCGAGTGGTTCTGACCATATGATTAGATTTATGATTACAGATAGATGCTTCACCATTGTGTACGGTTTATTCTGAATGAGATGGGCCAGAGCTAACAGATTTGGTTCTTTTTTATCAGTAGCTTTCATTGTAATATGAGCAATTAAAAAGAAATCAAGCTGTCTATACTTTGTATCGATGAGATGCTAGCTGTTTTTATCGCTTTATCTTTTTTCTCTGCTGTGAAATAGAGTGCTATTTCAGTTCATATTAGTTCATTGTCTGTAAACTATCGCACTGCCAATCATATGTCATTCCAACGGCGCTAATTAGGTACCGGCAGGTACCGGCCCATGGCGTCGTCTGTCACCCTTGGCGTGACCTCTATTTCTCACTCCTATGCTATACTTTGAAAAACTAATTTGGTTCTTTTATAATTTGAAATTGAATTTTACACTTATTGAAACTGATTTTCAACATGGCGCAGCCAACAGGTCTAAGTGGGGTGAAAATCCACTTGGAATAACCGGATATTGGCCAATGAAATGCAGCGAAACGCCTATGCTCTGGGGATTCTGACTTAAACGCTTTCAATGGAACATGGTCGCTAAACACGTGACAAAGCCCAAAAACTTCTACTTCAACGGGAAATTTACGGCAACGCAGATTGCGGCACCACCATGGGGTGTGGATGGAAAAAACCGGACGGAGAGCGCTAAGTTTTAATCTCTTCTTATGCCTGGGGGAGAAAGGCCCGAATGAACTTCACAAGAAATGGCCATATCTCGATCTGGTCGCAACTAGATATCCACGGGTCTTAGACGCTATAGAAGCGGAACTTAAGATGGAACGAAACGAAACATATGAAACTTTCTAGCTATTGTACAGATAGCAACATATTAAAGAGCCGCTCCAGCAATTCCTTTCGGTGCTAATTGGGCTGACCGCAAGATGCAGTTTTGGCGCATTGGAGTAACGAATATTGAGGGACGTTTTCATAGTCAACATGAACAACCGCGCAGCCCAAAAAGAATTATGCCGGTACACAAAGTTCCCAGAAGAACTGTACAGGATTGCTTTGTCTTACGAGCGGCGGGACAAGTACGCTAAATTGTATGTTTCTACAACTACCGGCGGAGTAACTTCATCGGCACCGACGGGAGTTGGCCTTCAAACTAAGACCAAATTGGTCGGAATCATCCCAGGGGGTATCGGAAAAATCACTCACGCGATAGAGGACAGCACCCCGGGTGCGGATTTCCCCGAGGCAATCCAACCAGCAGGAGATGCTACAACTGTGATCAACCAGGGTTCACACCAGACCATGTGGCCAAGTGCTCAGTGAAAAGTGTCACATGTAACTACTGCCGGAAAACCGGTTACTATAAACACACCTACAGGGGGAAGCAAGCTAGCAATCGGGGGTGCGGAGCAGGGAATTAATTTGAGAACACGAAAAAGGAACGTTCGACTACTCTGAAATACCGGAGGATCACCCGTCACAACACGGAGGTGCCGTTGGTTGTGTAAATAGATCCGAAGCACCGTCGCATTCTTGGGATTCGGACAGCTCAGGCAATGTACTTGGTGATGTCAGTTCATTATAAGAGAGGGACCGATCTCAAGGTCGCGGGAGCTCAACTGCCTTTACGAATCAACGGGAAGACTACACGGGTATGGATAGACAGCAGATCCCCATTTCAGTTTTCACCATCGGAGAGCTGACGAACACCCTTGGCTCACAAAATGTCAAGCTGCATTATCTGACACCGTAGGACAATATGTTCCGCGACTATAGAAACAACCCCTTCATTGATAAGAACGATTAATGTGAGGTTTGAGTCAAATGGCTGGGAAACGAGTGATAGGAGGCAGTCGACCCTATGATTCGTGTGATAGGAGGCAGCCGACCATCGATCAATGGACGGACCTGATGAGCAATTTGCGGATCAAATTTTTTCAACAAAAACCAGAGGACAAAGATGTCGATAGAGCAGGACGCGCCCAGGAAGCAGGATATTACACTGAGCCTGTGGCAGGAACACTTTAGACAATAATTTTCAAACCTCTTTCGTAGGGTAGGGAAAATTAGGAATTGTAAAGTACAGGCGGATTTTTTTAATGAACCTCACCCCAGTCCAACAGAAGGGACGATGGGTACCAATTACGCTGCAAACAAAAGTGGACGGCGAAATTGCGAAATTGTTGAAGCAAGGGCACATCGGAAAACTGGAAGAGTGTTCAGATAAACACTTCGTTACGCCTATTGTAGTCACAGATAAAGAGGACGGATCGGTTAAGCTAGCCGTTGATTCAAGAGAACTGAACAAACAAGTCCATAGGAGAAATTATCAAAAGCCGAACATTAAAGAATTAATGGACACCATCGGACAAACAATCAGCGAGATGAAACCGGGGAAAGTTTTTTTCGACAATGGACCTAACGTACGCTTACGGGCTTACTACGTCAATGTAATTTTTCAATAATACGAGGAAAATTGACCGTTACGTACCGCTTTAAAACAGAATTCTACGGCTTAAGAACAATGCTAGCAGAATTTCGACAAATAATGTAAAGCAACATTTCGGAGTTTTCGCAGGCACACGCGTTTATAAAAGATTCACTAGTAGTCACGAAAGGTTCGGCAATCGATCATATCGGGACGGTCGAAAAAAATTGCACAAAAGAGTTGTGAATGGCTTGGCCACAAAATTACACCAACCTAGCCAATCAAAGCGCTAAAACCACCAATCACTTTATCTCAATTCAAGTCGTTCTGAGCTCAATTCCCAGCCTTAACAAGTACCTATCTGGCCTTGCCAAGATTACCGCCCCACTTCGCCCTTTGCTAAATGGAAAACACGAGTAGTACGGATGGTTAAATTGCGTCTGAAAACTTAAAAAGGCAAGTTGAGATATACGAATAGTATGTGATGCAAGTCAAAACGGCCTGGGGCGGTCGTGTCGTCGAGAGGTTAGGCCCCGAGGGGTGGTGACCTATCTCAATTGCTTCAAGATAATTAAATTAGGCAGACAAATACTCAACCAATGAACTCGAAAGGCTAGCAGTGGTGTGAGGGGCGGATTATTTCCGTAATTACGTTTTAGGACGAAAATTTTCAGTGATAAAAGATCATAAAGCCTTAGAACACAAATTGAGTAGGACACAAATCGAGGGCAAAAATTGGGTTGGCGGATTACTTATCTCGAAGTCCGAACGGCGAGGTGGTGCCGGTAAACAGTTACCGTAGCATGATCACGGAGCAAAAATCAGCTCAATACGTCGCGCCTTGGGATAAGATCAATCGGATTCCACCACGGGACCGGTAATTACGTCATTCAAAGCAAAATCATCCAACCAAAATGGATTAAGCAACTTTTCGATCATAAACTTGCCACCAGAGGGTGTCGTATCATGCAGTTGCAAACTAACCAATCGAAGACAAGATATTTGCATAGACTGACAGTAAAGTAAAATGAAAAAACGTCGAGCTAATATTCATTCAAGTCAAGTTGTACAAAAATTTACGAGTCAAATTTAGAAAAATTGGATAGAAGTTTCAGATAGAACTATTTTTGAAACGACATCCCAGCCTACATAGTAGCGGCGATATGGTAGCGGTGTACTTTCCTTACCTTCGGCATACGCTGGAGAAACTGTTCCTCCGGTTGATCCCAACAATTTAATCATGTTCATTGTTTCAAGGGGATAATCAAATTTAAGCAAACTTATTTTGCTACCAGAAGTATTCATTTTGCAATTTGTAGAACCTAACTATAAATCTGACCCTCAGCTTACTGCCGTTCGAGATATGATAAAGTAGAAAGATCCAAACATAGATAGCAAAACAGATGCCATGAATCGTTACTACGCCCTGTTCTTTAATATACTATACGTCAGGGAAAACGGCATTTGCATGGACGATAAACTAGTGATTCCCAATAGTTTAACTACTGCCATTAACAACCGAATTTATTATCACGATCACGTGAAATCAAATATGTTTCAAGCTGCCAAAGACATTTGGTAAACCTTATATTTATCGATTGATCGAATATATGGAGGAAAATTGCGCAGAGTGCTCAACGTCTGGTAAGAAACTCAAATTGATAATTTAGCAAAGTAACGTAGGAAAAAATAATGAACCAAAAAAACCTCGTGAGTCAGTTCAACTCGATTGTTGGGGACCAACTAATTACCCGAATGAATCAAAAAAAAAATGTCCTCGTGGCGTTTGATCATTTTTCACGTTGGACTTTGGCGATGAGTTGCGGAAATAACCGATTGGACAAAATACTTAAATATTTCACAATGTACATAGTAATCCATGGAGTGCCCCGAAGGACACACATCGATCGAAGGACGAAATTTATGTCCATTGATTCTAAGGCGTTTTGCAATACCGAAGCGATCGAAACAATAAAATTGCCGGTCAATGACCATAGCGCTACCGGATGTGTAGACCGGACACTAGGTAGTTAGAAAAATTCTCTTCTCACATATGCTAGAGTGAGATACCACGAACACTGGAAAAAGTTTTCAATTAACTTGTTTTCAATTAACTCTACGAGTAAGTTGACACCATTCGAGACACACAATGTACGTGAGGCCAATATGGTTCTAAGAAATCTCACAAAACGCACGGAAGGACAACAACTTGACCAACAGGACGAAACGACGGTTCGCAAGATGGACAACGTGGAATCGCAGCCGGGGCCATCAGGCCAACTTTACCAACGAGCTGGAGACAGGAACCTCCACAGAGTTAGCGAAACTAATTCTAAGCTGAAATCAAAAAGCACACATACTCTTGCCTTAGAAACTGACGTTGTTCTTAGGAAGTCGGCGAAAGCAGTCTCGAAAAACGCAAGCCACAACAAGAAAACACCCGCAGGATCGCCTCAGCCACCTAAGCCACGGGATCTGAAACGAAAACAATTACTAAAGATCCGAAGACGATGACACTGAAACAAAAGGGCTGACGACTTGAACCGGTGAGTAAATCGGAGAGTAAGGATGAAAGCGAAAATTTTCTATTTACAAATAGAACGACCATC